ATTGCCATTTCCTTGTGCCCATCGTGCCCAAGAGTCATCAGGCAGTTGCTGATGACTATAATTCCCTCGCTTCATCGAACCGATAGCTCGGATTGTAACTGCAAACGAATACTGGTTGACAAAAATCGATTATACGCGATACGTGTTGATAGCCGGCGATATTTGCGCTGGTTGGTGGTGAGGGCTTCACAAACAACAGGGGATTCAGCCCAAGCGCGATTGACGAGAGAGGCGCAGACAACGACCGACCTCAACCCGCGCTTGTTCTGCTTTCACTCCTCCAAGGCTTTCGCCGCTATCCCTGCCACCCCATAAATACTGACTCCACTTGAAATACTGCAGTTTAGCGAATCCTCTATTGTGGTTGCTTCTCCCGACTCTTTGCGCCTACCACCCCCAAAGCCAACCCTCGCTCCGGAATGCTGCGCCATTGACTGACGATTCGCTCCTTTTCGCCGTGGTCAGTGCGGCGGTATGTTTTAAGCTTCTGAGCATCAGTCCGTTGTTCTTTCAGCAATATCAGTCTCGGACTTCATCAATCATCCCTATCGACACCACCTGAATCTATCAGTAAAGCTTACCTGTGTACCATCGATATTCTGTCTTGAACTGTATCTCGGCTTCTTCAACTCCTTGAGCACGGACAGACATACGCTCAGGCCAGGCTCAAGATCAGCCTCAAGGTTAGCTTCGAGACTGACTTGAGTCAATTTCTCGACTAGTTTCATCAGCTGGAGAGCTTTGTGTTTGGATGTATCTGAATATTCCAGATGACCATGGGGGCATCGCTGAGTCATGCTCACACCAAGGGTATCGAGCGGGTATCAAGGGTATCCACTCGCAGGTATCCATTCAAGGGCGAATATTGACGGGGTATCCATCCATGGGTATCCTCCGCAGGCATCCCATTGTAGGTATCGACTGGGGTTTGATTGGCTGTTTGCTGAGGGGGGGTATCTGCTCGACGGGGATCGTTAAGGTACCAGACCGCCATCGTGTAGCCCGCTTCGATCTGCCCTCGTAGCTCTTGGTGCCTTTCCATCAAGGTTGAAGCTCTTTCCATAAGAGCGAGACTTTCCATCGGGGGGGGGGTAACTGGCTGCATTGATAGCAGCTTGACCGCCTGCATCAACGAATACCTGGCTGCCGTCAGCTTTCCGTAGAAGACGCTCATCTAATATCCAGCCGCCCATACCATTCCCATAGCATACCTTCACAGCAGGCCAGCAAGTCAGCAAGCCAGCGTACCAGCATGCCAGGTGAGCGCTAAAACTATCTAGCGTGCTGCTCTATCACCTATTCCATACTTTACAATCCAACACTTTCGGGGGGGGGAGGATCATAGACGTTCCATACAGGCCTCATAATGAATAGTGGAAGAGTGGGGGAGGTTTTGCAGCTTTGGTACGGTCCCTTGAGTTCGACGGTATTGCGAATTGGGACTGTAAGCGAGTCTATTGTTCCTGTCCTTGACTTGGCACGCAAGCCAGTCCTCTGGGCAGCGTCAAAAAGCTGTCCAAATTCGATTGATGGCTTGAAGTCTGGTGAACTGTTGTGGATGTGCATGTGGATCTGGATGTGTCGTCCGACACTTGCAGTTTTCGCTCGTTCTTGGCTCTCCTTGCATCCTGATGGAGTCTGCGTTCGGCTGGGGTCTGTTCTCGCTTGGCAGTAGCCATATTGCCAAAATCAAGATCGAGCTGTGGATTGCAACTAGGATGCGCTCTCCTGACGCTGGTGATAATATCAGCACAGTCTGGCTTGTCTCCAAGCGCCAGAACGGTGGAGCAAGCTGCATTACTCACCAACAACCAGTAGATTAGCCGTCGAGTGAAAACACTCTGGCCTTGTTCAGTTGACTTTGTGGCTGGTCTTGGCCTATCGTCTCGATTAGCCATCTCGATCAACTCATTTGAGTGAGCTCGCTGCTGGAAGGGTCAAATATCGGCTCATTGACACCGAGAGTGATGCATGGTATATCGACGTTGGCGGCTTCTGCACATAGTTGCCTTGACGGCATAATGTCAAACCTGCAGATGGCTTTAATACGAGCAATTGCATGGCTCCTTAGAACCTCTTGTCTATGGGCTAGCATCTCGCGTAAGCTGTAGACTCGCGAGGACCACTCGACAGCCCTGTAAATATTCAACTGTAAATGAGGCTCAGTCTCGGCCTCGCTGCCGTGGAAATATTCAAGCTAAGCAGAGCCACACTGTTTATTCAGCTTCTCCACTTCCCTGCCCGATTTATCGGAGTCAATGCGACAGCCCTAGCTCCACCGCCTCCACCTGATCGCCAGGTTATTGATCCTGGATGCTTATTAGAGATTCTACTCACCATAGTATCAATTGGGTGTCCGCGTATGCCCCTCCAAAGTTCTGTCGCGACCTCCATCCCAGTATTCCGTGAATATGGACGTGTACAGTCGATTATTGTCCTGTCCTGCCTGTCCTGTCCTGCCTGTCCTGTCCTGTACAGAGCCTCGCCTGTGCCAATATGCTCTGTCGACATCGGTATAGATTTCCAGTTCTTATTGTGTCGATGGGTATAGGGTCAGGTCTACCGGCAGCTGTAACACCGATAAGGGTGCTCGCAGTCCGGAACGGTCGGATCTTGCTCGGGAATGCCCGAGAGCGGGGCTCCGATCCCCGTTTCTCGTATAAACACGCTCGCGTCCTTGAAGTACTGGTGATCGTGTCTCAAGCCAGGCGCTTTGCATTCATCTTGTCACTCACTCAACCTTCACTCCGTCATCCATCGCCCTGCTCAGCCCGATCATATTATTTGGCTGTGGCTGTCGGTATACCGCCGCTCCACTCTCCGCTTCGCTCCATTTCCCATTTATCTACATCCATATCCGTCTATGGATTCGACTGTGCCTAGCTCTTTTACGGCACCGCCGTCTGAACGACGAATAGAGGGATAGTAGGGACAGCAGATTGACAGGTTTGGGTCCATTATGGTTGACATGCACCATTCATTGGGCTTCATGCATCAAATGCACCACTAATCGTGCGTTGCGTACCGGAACGGGCAGCCTGGGCTCGGCCGATGCGGAGTGTGTCGACTGTCGCAGTTTGCGGTTTGGGAGGCTCTGGGCGTTGCTGGCATCTTGACCCCAGCGAGCAGCCGCTGCATCCACGGGCCCTCGTTCAGGCTGTCAGGCCGAGATTATCTCCACATTACCTTGGGATAGAGCTCAGGAAGACAAATAGTTTGATTGTATGGTTATATTTGTGAAACCCTGTGCCATATGATGCAGCCTGCTGGAAAACCGCTCCAAAACCGCCCCGGAATCGATATTCCAAGATGCATCAATAACAGATCGTATGCATGTGATCGAAGCTCAAAAATTTGCCAAAGGGATGTCAACGACTCCTGCAGCCTTTACCAAATCGAATGAAAATGGGTTCCTAGAGCAATAAAGATCTGTGACAAGCGTGGGGTCACGCTTGATATGGGAGCTTCATTAAGATATTGACGGACTCAATCGGAGGGATTAATTCGGGAGACGTTGCGGTTTCTCAGTCCCCGAGTTTGTTTCGAGAGGTGAAGGGTGAGAGAAGTTGATGCTGTAGCCGATAAACATCCACCCAGTGGTTGTTGTCGTTGTTGTTGCCGTTGTTGTCGATACCGTGGGCGGATGTGGTGTTGAGCCGAGCAACATTTGCGATCGAGCCAGTCGATGCCCGTTGAGAGACGCCACCGATGGTCGTCGAGAATCGTCGTCGATGATCGGGAGGCATCGCATATTGCACATATCGCATACATCAAACAACCGCACACATCGCACATTCCACGCATCGTATCGCATGCATTGCGCATGTGTTCATCGTCAGCGGCAAGTGCAGTCGTGGCCCGTCCAGGAAACGCAGCCAAGCGAGGTTATGTTGACAGCAGATCCAGGAGAGAACCGCCGTTGGCAGGTTTTGTTCCCGGTCGTGAAGCAATTCGTTGCATCGTGCCATCAAAAGCATTGGATGTGCCGATCAGATATAGCGCCAGCCAGGCCCAGATATCCGCCAGCGGCATCACCCAGTGACATTCCCCAGCGGCATTCACCAACCAGCCATGGCCCCGGTCGATGCCAGTGCCGACCCCAAAGGACGTTGTCGTGAGAGGAAGCGAGCCGTGCCGGTTGATGTCCGGTGTCAATCAAGAGCAGGTGGTGGCGGGCCGTCAATGAAGGGGGGGGAGAAGCGGCAGTCAAGGAGCGGCGGTATGGGAAAGGGACCGGAGGAAGGAGCAGAAGAAACGGGAAGGAGCAGAAGAACCGAGAAGGAGCAAGAGAGAGCAGGCCGGAGGCAGAGGAGGGCAAGACAGAGGAGGGCAAGGCAGAGGAGGGCAAGGCAGAGGAGGGCAAGGCAGAGGAGGGCAAGATAGAGGAGGGCGAGATGGGACCCAAGACAGGAGGGCGGTACGAAAGGGAGTCCCATGTCGAAACAGGCACATAAAGCGGCAGGTAATTCACGAGGGGAGATGCACATGCAGATGTGAATGTACATGCATATGCAAATGCACATGCAGAATGGCAAACAGGAGGTGTGCAGGGCGCCGGATGAGCCGTCAGATGTCATGGCCCATGGATGATCGGGAATCGACCGTTTGGTGTGGATTGAATCGACGAGCCGACAGTGAGTTGCACATAGGTCGACAGCCGACGCACGGTGATACCACAGCAGATCGGCCGATCGGGCAGCGAGGATGGAAACGTCGCCATAAGATGAGGATCGGGGACAGAGGATGCAGTTGGCCAAAGAAAGTACAGGAATGACAAGAAGTGCAGGGGTGAGGAGAGTTATGCATGTTGACATCGCAAATGCATGGGGGGGGGGAAGAAACAAGGAGGAGCCGTCAGTTACCGATGCCACACTCCCCTAGCGATATTCTCGTCCCTCGGCGTTGACTCTGTACTCTCCGCTGCTGATGAATGCAGCGACCAACACAACAGCCCGGACACAGCAGCCGGCGAACAATCGACCCGCCTCCATGACCAAGCGACACCGCCAAGAAGGATGACAATGTCGGCACCATCGAATCCTGATGGCCGTATTCAGGTCCGCGAATCATATGTGCTACGCTGGTGTCTATAAGAATGCTTCAAATGCTTCGGATGCCTCAAATACTTCGGATGCCTCAAGTGCTTCGGGTGCCAGCCGGTCAGCAGCATCTTGAGGGACGCAGAGATGCAGGGGGCACAGGAGCACAGGAGACGGGAGCGGCCGCTCCCGATGCATGATCGGCCCGCTGTGTGCCAACGAGGTCAGCTCTCGCTGTGGTGTGCTGGTGCCTCTGGTGCCTTTGGTGCCTCCGACTCTTCCCTGGAGCTCCTGGTGCTTCCTGTGTTTCCTGTGCTTCTGGTGCTTCTGGTGCTTCTGGTGCTTCTGGTGCTTCTGGTGCTTCTGGTGCTTCTGGTGCTTCTGGTGCTTCTGGTGCTGATCTGGCCGTCGATACAACGGCCGAGGCTCGATGTTGCTTGGCGGGCCGAGAATCCCTGGCGGCTTGACGTGCTGCTATATCTCAACGGTCTGGTGTATGTTGACAGCGATCCGATCGTAGACGTCATGCCGGCTGCGACCTCCGAGGCTCGATACTACCAGATACCGCTCGATACTGCTCAATGTCGTTCGATGTTCGACCGTGCCATGCCGAGCTGCCGAGCTGCCGAGCTGCCGAGCTGCCGAGCTGCCGAGCTGCCGAGCACCCGACCATCGTGAAACGTACCTGGGATGCCAATAAACTTTTGCCACTGGAACGAGGTGAAGGAGTCGGAAAAGACGTGTGCTCGGCTGTCGCTGCAAGACGCAATCCAGATGCGATCGAGGTGGAAGGTTACGAATGGGATGGTGTGTAGGGAGAGACGCAAGAGCCGCAAGCAGCAGTGTTAGCGTGCGCAGGAGGTGATCGGCAGAAACAGCCAGTCTTCACACTGCTGCGTCGAAATTGGAGCTGCCCATGATCGATCGGATGCAATGACGCATTGTGCGTGGCAGTGCGCCGAGCCAGCAGCCGAATCAGCAGCCGATCGGCAACAGCATGTGCTGAATCACGCCAACAATGTGCATATTGTGGCTGGACCGCCAGGCGGATCGGGTGGCGTTGGGTCGGCGAAGATCAAGCAAGGCGATAAGCGATGCGATGAGCAGCGGGGCGTGCAATGAAACGGGTAACGAGACGGGCAAGGGGGATCGAGATACGGTCGTGGCGGCGATACGGATGAAGAGTCAACAGAGCGGCACGTGTGGGTGCGATGTGGTGCGGTACGGATGTGTGGAGATACGGATGTGGATGTGGGCGAATATGTCGATGGGTTGTGGGCGAATGTTGTCGATCGGTTGTGGGGTTGGGACGTCAAAAGGACGGAAGGAGCGGGCGGCACGAGGAGCAGCCGAGAGGAGTGCGAGAGCGCAGAGAGAGGGCCACGACTGCAAGCGAGAGCCCTGGCGAGAGCGCGGTGACAGCTGTTGGGCTTGTTTGTCACCGTGGCGCGCCTCATGGCAAGAGCCATCTCGACAACTGCTCCAGATTACGGTGACAGCCACCACTCTGAGCCAGAGTGGTGCCGATGACGCCAGCGATGCCATTAGTGTCGGTGGAGCGACATCGGGGTATCGGCATACCGTCGCCCCGGAAGGACTTGGAGAGCCATGGCACACAGTTGACAGGCGCCAAAATGACAGCCAGGACTGCTGTCGCCCGATGACAGGACCAAGTCGACAGCGGGGTGCCCGGCAGCGCGCTGAGTGCCTCCAACCATGAGTGGTGGGGATGGCGGGATGGAGGGATGGAGGGATGGCGGGATGGCGGGATGGCGGGATGGAGGGATGGAGGGAGGGAGGGAGGGAGGGAGGGAGGGGAGGGATGGAGGGATGGCGGGATGGAGGGATGGCGGGATGGAGGGATGGAGGGCGATGAAGCATGGCAGACGATGGTAAAGAAAGGGGGGCCGGGAACTCTGATGAATCGAAGCAGCGTCGGTGAAGCACCAAGACCAAAGGTAAGGCCGGCCCAATCGACGGATGCGACCAGATCGACGGTGCCTTTGCAGCTTCTGCAGGATGATAAGTGTGTGGCTCTGGCCATGCTTGCGACAGCATCGGAGTGCGACTGCAAGTTGCAGTGCACCAGACTGCAGCCGCAAGTGTCCAACAACCACGCCACCACATCCGAGCCGGCCATCGCTGGCGGCAACATCTCGGCGGAGCCACAAAGCCACCCGAGGAGAGCAAAGGAGCGGGAAGCGCGGGGAGAGGATGTAGGGGATAGGGATATAGGGATATACGGGATATAGGGGATATAGAGCGGAAGACGGTGAAGAGGAGAAGGAAGCAAGCGGAGCTTGGAGGCGGGCTGAGGGAGAAGAACGAATGCAGATGGGGTGGGCGCAAGGAGGGCTGGCACCGTGCCGATCCATCGCCGATCCATCGCCGATCCATTATCGATCCGCCATGGTCGATTTCCGACCAACTTGCAGCCGCCTTGGAGCTGTGCCGTCGGACTCTGGACCTCAGAGCATGCTTCTGCATTGGCTGCTTGACATGAACAGAGCCACCTCTCCCCCAGCCGGCACAGACAGGTCGACAATCGACCCCAAACGCGGACACTGCCGCACCACACCCCGCACCACAAGCCTGCGTCACAGGCCTGCATCGTCACCTTGTCAGTCGTGGCGGCCCCGGCTGCACAGGATCGGCTTGGAGATTCGGGCACTCGAACAGCACAAACTTGAGCTTGTAGTCGCCCTTGACGCGGATGTTGATCTCTGGGAAGATGAAGAGGACCACCTCCTCTCCCATTTCGTTGATCAGGAACTCGCTATGGGCGACACACTTGCCGCACAGCGTGCGCACTTGTGATGTCAGAGGTCGCTTGGAGTTGCTGCTGCTGCTGCTACTGCCGCTGCCTCCGGATTGCTCGAAACGGGCCTCGTGTGGGAACCGCAGATGCGCACGGTCGGACTGGGAGTGGTATTGAACGAGCGAGCGGTTTTCCTGCTCGTCGGTCGACCAGAGCTCGACAAAGAGGACAAAGTTGGCCACTTGCTGGGCGAGTTGGTGAGGCCTGCGAGGATAGACGGCGAGCGTGCGGTAATGTGGATGTGGGAATGTGGGGATGTGGGGACGTGGGGATGTGGGGATGTGGGGATGTGGGGACGTGAGGATGTGGGATATGGGGAAGCGGAAGCGAAGTGAATGGAATCAAGAGCGTCAGCGTCAATGGTATTGGTGTCGAACCAGGGCTGGCATCTCAGGAGGGTGCAGGATGCAGACGCCGTAGCAAGCCGGCCCCGCAGCTGGGCTCGGCGCGCGAACTCGACAGGATAGGATATGGCAGGACGTGGCAGGACAGGACATGGCAGGACAGGACATGGCATGGCATGGCATGGCATGGCATGGCATTTGATATCGAGGGACTGTAAAGTCGCGGGCGGGAAACGAGGCGACAGAATACGGAGGGAAGGGATGTGAAGGAAGGGAGCACGGGGAATAGCCGCTGTCCTGCGATACAAAGCAGGAATACGTGCGAAGGGTAGAGAGCAGAGTGCAAAGTGTGGGCGAAGAATGTTTGCCAAGAGTGTGGGCCGAGTGGGTGGGCCTTCATGAAGTTGCGCAGGGCGCAGCCACACACCATCGCATCCGTCCTGAAATGATGTGATGCAATGCAATACGATGTGATGCAATGTGATGTGATGTGATGCTACGCGGCGCAATGCAAGCCAATGCCACCGAATGCAAACCAATGCCATCGAATGCCGTCGAATGTGAGCCGATCTCGAGCCATGCCGGACCGTGCTGGGCCACGCTCAGCAAAGCAACATTGCCCAGCCGAGCATGTGCCGAACGAGACTTGCTCCGTCGACTTGCTGGCTGGCGGTCTCGGCCGCGGCCCTGTCCTGGCCACAGTCTCGACCACAGCCCAACCACAGCCACACGAGCCAGCAATCTGGCCTCATGGCCAACACCGGCGGGAGTTTGTCTGGGCGGCAACCACAGCCACAACCACAACCACAGTGCCGCTCTACTCGCCTACTCAGGATTCGGTCGTCGGACTGCAGATAGAGCAGCTGGACTACCGGTGGAGGATCGATGGCCCGCTTCTCGTGCTTCTCGCCGAATCCGCAGCATCGTGCCACTTGGGGCTGCTGAATGACTTTGAGCACGTATCGATCACTGTGGTGAGATCGTGACGGGGCAGGTGTGGTTGGTGTGGTTGGTGTGGTTGGTGTGGTTGGTATGGTCGTTGGATGTGGTGGATGCCGCCATTCGACGTTGTTATCGGATGTCGATGAGTATCGAGTGGCAAACATTGATGGATATCGCGTTCAGTGCGCCATGAGGCCGGTGTCGACAGTAGTGGCCGGGTGGGTGGCGAGTTTGGTCCCGATGTCGAAGCGAGCCAGGAATCCGTGTGGAGGCCATCCAAGCGATCCCGGCACAAATCGAGTGTCGGTGTCGGTCGAAAGTCAAATCGATTGTCGGGATACATTGTCGAGAACACACAGCCAAGCGCACATTGTCGAGAACACGCAGCCAAGTGCACATTGTCGAGTGCATATCGTTGGCACCACCAGGTGTTGACGATTCATCCGAGTGCCGTCCGTTCGTTTAAGTGCAAGTGTCGAGAGTGTCCGTGGGTTCCAATGGCACAGGCAAGCGCCGGGATCGAGCCGGGTCGAGCATTGAATTGAGCAGAGAGCCGAGCATCCACAGGATCAAGCCGTCACCAATTCGCGATCACCGACCGCCGACCATCGAACATCGGCCGTGCGAGAACATCCGGTGCCGCCGATCAACCACGCCCACCCAGCCGTCGCCGCAGCAACACATCACACCACACCACCATCCCATTATCATCGCAGCAGAGACGCGCCCATCGACCCGCCAGCCCGAGTGATTCGTGTGCCAGGACAACCAGGATCAACGGCCACCAGACACCGGACCAGAGGAAGTGGGTCGTCACAACAGCAAGTCGTCACAACAGCAAGTCGCCGCAACAGCAAGTCGTCGCGATGGCGAGTCCGCACCAGATTCCAGACCCATGCCGTGCCATATCACACATCGCACCAACAGCGTATCGCATCGCATCGCATCGCACCCATCGGCGAGCCACAAACCACATTGGCGCAGACCGTTCAACGAACCGCGTGGTCGGCAATCGGCAGTGATGTTCGCGAGCAGTCCATAGACGGGGAGTGAGGACAGAGGAAAGAAGCAAAAACACACAGACACAGGATCAGCTCAAGGCCTCGTTTGCAGATGATGGGGGAAGCTGTCTCGAGGCCGACTCGCAGCCATCTCCTCCGCCGTGGTGGTTGTTGCTGCAGTAGTCTGTCGTTCCTCGGCGGGATCGTCTCCGATATCGAGCGCTGGCCCTCGTCGTCGGGAGGTGTCGAGCCATCGGATGGGCGGCCAGCCAGAACGCAGCGGCAGGCGTGGTGTGGCCGAGCAGATCGTGCTGGCGATTATCAACGGACGAGAGCCTGCCGGCTGTCGGCTGTCGGCTGTCGGCTGTTGGCTGTCGGGAGTCTTGGGCAGCAGCACCAGCTCCAGCTCCAGCACCGAGCCAGACTGACGATGACCGAGGAGCAGTTGCCTGCCAAGGCAAGACGGAGGAGCCCGGCAAACGAGTCGTCCTGGCCAGTCGTCGGCGCCGAGCCGACACAGAGGCGGGGTGGCTGCCTCGAATCGATGATGAAGCAATCGGTCTCGGTCGAGACCGACGGCGGCGACAGCGGGCATCCAACACAGCGAACACAACGAGCACGGCGGTCGGCGACCGGCATCCATCTGGAATCCATCTGGCATCTCTCGTTTGCAATCGCTGGAGGCCAGGATCGCGACGCTTACCTCCGCGCCGGTGAGGATGATGAGGTGGGTGATGCATCGGTGTTCATTCTGTTAAATATGGGTGCGATCGGGGCACAAGTAACCTGCGCAGAGGGACGGATTAGAGGTCAGCTTGCCCGATTCATTCCTGAGATTTGTTCCGCCCTCAGGCCGACGAGTTCGATTGCATCTCGGGCTCGTCAGAATGTTCGCACAGCCCCACCTCTGAGGCTCGGTGAGGGATGATTGAGTGGAGGTGGTCTGATCGAGATGAAGGGGAGCGGGGCTGAGCGATCGGCCTTAACGGACACCAGCGCCGGTGCCTCTGTTCAGTCGCTCACCACCCGGATATTCGATGACGACCGCAGGGTGTTGCTCAACCCGAGTGGACCCCCATTTGCACACGGGCCTCGAGCCGGCAAAATTCGGTGGCACTGACAAGGGCCAGCACCGCTTTGTGTTGGATTGGCGACCGCTGGGCGCCTTGGGCTTTTGCTCGTGTATCCACCTCATTGAGCGGAAAGCGGCAGAAAGGCTTTTACCGCCAAAACCGATATCGCATACAATATGTTACCTGCCATGTCTCTCGGGGATGGCCATATTACTGCCACCAATTGTTTCCGCTGTGGGTGCTCAACACCAGTGCCATGTCTCTGGTCTCTGATGGCTAGCTTAATGAAAGGGCCACAAGCGTCGGGACCCAGCTCGTCGGCTTCGACGTGGCTGCGTTCGCCTGAGGCGCGTCCCTGGTATTCAAAACATTCATCTCGTGGAGACGAAGACGTTCCACAAAGGGGGCACTCTGGGGAGCTGTGTGATCGCTGCAAGTTCGACAGGGAACCCCGATCAATCTCTTTGTTGCTGCATGGACAGCGAATTGACTGAGAACCACATTCGTTAGGAGCATACAATATAGAACACCAAAGGTGAATACAAGTTGCGTCCGAGGTGAGCACGGAGCTACTAAGCAAGCTGTGGACATTTGAATTGGAGGGTGACTAGAATAAAATGCTCTGGTGGCCAATTGAACTTGAGCTCGTTATGGATGGGACGACGACATGGGGCTGAAAAATGAGCTTGGACCTCCGAAGGATCAAAGTTCAAGTCGTGGATGATAGCAATGTGGACTATAATGTATTTGAAGATCTTAGAAAGGGCAAACCTGAACGAGGGCCCGTGGATGCAGCGGCTGCTCGCTGGGGTCAAGATGCCAGCAACGCCCAGAGCCTCCCAAACCGCAAACTGCGACAGTCGACACACTCCGCATCGGCCGAGCCCAGGCTGCCCGTTCCGGTACGCAACGCACGATTAGTGGTGCATTTGATGCATGAAGCCCAATGAATGGTGCATGTCAACCATAATGGACCCAAACCTGTCAATCTGCTGTCCCTACTATCCCTCTATTCGTCGTTCAGACGGCGGTGCCGTAAAAGAGCTAGGCACAGTCGAATCCATAGACGGATATGGATGTAGATAAATGGGAAATGGAGCGAAGCGGAGAGTGGAGCGGCGGTATACCGACAGCCACAGCCAAATAATATGATCGGGCTGAGCAGGGCGATGGATGACGGAGTGAAGGTTGAGTGAGTGACAAGATGAATGCAAAGCGCCTGGCTTGAGACACGATCACCAGTACTTCAAGGACGCGAGCGTGTTTATACGAGAAACGGGGATCGGAGCCCCGCTCTCGGGCATTCCCGAGCAAGATCCGACCGTTCCGGACTGCGAGCACCCTTATCGGTGTTACAGCTGCCGGTAGACCTGACCCTATACCCATCGACACAATAAGAACTGGAAATCTATACCGATGTCGACAGAGCATATTGGCACAGGCGAGGCTCTGTACAGGACAGGACAGGCAGGACAGGACAGGCAGGACAGGACAATAATCGACTGTACACGTCCATATTCACGGAATACTGGGATGGAGGTCGCGACAGAACTTTGGAGGGGCATACGCGGACACCCAATTGATACTATGGTGAGTAGAATCTCTAATAAGCATCCAGGATCAATAACCTGGCGATCAGGTGGAGGCGGTGGAGCTAGGGCTGTCGCATTGACTCCGATAAATCGGGCAGGGAAGTGGAGAAGCTGAATAAACAGTGTGGCTCTGCTTAGCTTGAATATTTCCACGGCAGCGAGGCCGAGACTGAGCCTCATTTACAGTTGAATATTTACAGGGCTGTCGAGTGGTCCTCGCGAGTCTACAGCTTACGCGAGATGCTAGCCCATAGACAAGAGGTTCTAAGGAGCCATGCAATTGCTCGTATTAAAGCCATCTGCAGGTTTGACATTATGCCGTCAAGGCAACTATGTGCAGAAGCCGCCAACGTCGATATACCATGCATCACTCTCGGTGTCAATGAGCCGATATTTGACCCTTCCAGCAGCGAGCTCACTCAAATGAGTTGATCGAGATGGCTAATCGAGACGATAGGCCAAGACCAGCCACAAAGTCAACTGAACAAGGCCAGAGTGTTTTCACTCGACGGCTAATCTACTGGTTGTTGGTGAGTAATGCAGCTTGCTCCACCGTTCTGGCGCTTGGAGACAAGCCAGACTGTGCTGATATTATCACCAGCGTCAGGAGAGCGCATCCTAGTTGCAATCCACAGCTCGATCTTGATTTTGGCAATATGGCTACTGCCAAGCGAGAACAGACCCCAGCCGAACGCAGACTCCATCAGGATGCAAGGAGAGCCAAGAACGAGCGAAAACTGCAAGTGTCGGACGACACATCCAGATCCACATGCACATCCACAACAGTTCACCAGACTTCAAGCCATCAATCGAATTTGGACAGCTTTTTGACGCTGCCCAGAGGACTGGCTTGCGTGCCAAGTCAAGGACAGGAACAATAGACTCGCTTACAGTCCCAATTCGCAATACCGTCGAACTCAAGGGACCGTACCAAAGCTGCAAAACCTCCCCCACTCTTCCACTATTCATTATGAGGCCTGTATGGAACGTCTATGATCCTCCCCCCCCCCGAAAGTGTTGGATTGTAAAGTATGGAATAGGTGATAGAGCAGCACGCTAGATAGTTTTAGCGCTCACCTGGCATGCTGGTACGCTGGCTTGCTGACTTGCTGGCCTGCTGTGAAGGTATGCTATGGGAATGGTATGGGCGGCTGGATATTAGATGAGCGTCTTCTACGGAAAGCTGACGGCAGCCAGGTATTCGTTGATGCAGGCGGTCAAGCTGCTATCAATGCAGCCAGTTACCCCCCCCCGATGGAAAGTCTCGCTCTTATGGAAAGAGCTTCAACCTTGATGGAAAGGCACCAAGAGCTACGAGGGCAGATCGAAGCGGGCTACACGATGGCGGTCTGGTACCTTAACGATCCCCGTCGAGCAGATACCCCCCCTCAGCAAACAGCCAATCAAACCCCAGTCGATACCTACAATGGGATGCCTGCGGAGGATACCCATGGATGGATACCCCGTCAATATTCGCCCTTGAATGGATACCTGCGAGTGGATACCCTTGATACCCGCTCGATACCCTTGGTGTGAGCATGACTCAGCGATGCCCCCATGGTCATCTGGAATATTCAGATACATCCAAACACAAAGCTCTCCAGCTGATGAAACTAGTCGAGAAATTGACTCAAGTCAGTCTCGAAGCTAACCTTGAGGCTGATCTTGAGCCTGGCCTGAGCGTATGTCTGTCCGTGCTCAAGGAGTTGAAGAAGCCGAGATACAGTTCAAGACAGAATATCGATGGTACACAGGTAAGCTTTACTGATAGATTCAGGTGGTGTCGATAGGGATGATTGATGAAGTCCGAGACTGATATTGCTGAAAGAACAACGGACTGATGCTCAGAAGCTTAAAACATACCGCCGCACTGACCACGGCGAAAAGGAGCGAATCGTCAGTCAATGGCGCAGCATTCCGGAGCGAGGGTTGGCTTTGGGGGTGGTAGGCGCAAAGAGTCGGGAGAAGCAACCACAATAGAGGATTCGCTAAACTGCAGTATTTCAAGTGGAGTCAGTATTTATGGGGTGGCAGGGATAGCGGCGAAAGCCTTGGAGGAGTGAAAGCAGAACAAGCGCGGGTTGAGGTCGGTCGTTGTCTGCGCCTCTCTCGTCAATCGCGCTTGGGCTGAATCCCCTGTTGTTTGTGAAGCCCTCACCACCAACCAGCGCAAATATCGCCGGCTATCAACACGTATCGCGTATAATCGATTTTTGTCAACCAGTATTCGTTTGCAGTTACAATCCGAGCTATCGGTTCGATGAAGCGAGGGAATTATAGTCATCAGCAACTGCCTGATGACTCTTGGGCACGATGGGCACAAGGAAATGGCAATCTAAAGTGCCAAGTCAGGTGGGGGGGGGGCGAGCGCAAAATCAGAATGATAGTGCTCCTAAGGAGCCAGCAAGAGCAAAGCGAATATCAAGTAGAGCCAGAGAGCCCTGTAACCACGTACGTCGCTATGCGAGCCAGGTATTAATGTGCCCCCTTTCGTTAGGAGCACCCGGCTGTGAGCACCGGGATGTGATCGCCAGGAATCAACACCGGGATGAAAGAGCGGTGCTAAGCACCGATAGGCTCAAGGTGATCATGCGTGAGTCGAGTGGCCAACAGTATTTGGGAATGGGTCAAAGACCGAGATCTCCCACATAGTCTCGGCCTTCTCCATCCGACTGTCATCAGCATGACAACGGAGATCTATCATACCCAATCCATCACAGCACTATAGACTTTGATATATCGTGGTGAACTATTCGAGTTAGCTTATTATCCATCAATGCTCTGTCCTGATGCATGATCTTTTATAGTGTACGCAGACAAAATGGGACGCACTCCGACTGAAGGACAGCACACATTCTTGCTGCAATCAGGTCCGCAGCCCAATCTCAGTTGGCCGCCTGTCCCGGATTGTCGAATTGTAAGCCGTCCTCGTGCTCAGTTGCTTCTTCGAAAGTGCTCTCGTGAATACACCCAGTCGACGCTCATGGGCGATGATTGACTGAAACACCGAGATCATGCTCCAAACGACCGTGACGTTTTGACGTGAGAGTATAGTGAATAAATTCGACCACTTGGACAGCTTCCACGCAGCGTCCGAGCTGTCGACATCAAGGTGATCGGGCAGCCCGAGTGGCTTTGGTGCCAGACATCCGGAGCATACTTGGGATATGTTGAACTCGTTCATCGGAAACACTTAGAACGGACCTCAAGGGACATGGTTGATCCTCTAGCGGCGGAGGTGATGGTGGAACTGCCAGAAATATCGATCAAGTGCCTGTGTTGGTGGGCGCGAGACGCATCCCCTCCGCTGTTCACAGAAGATGGATGGCCACTGGGCGATAGGCGTGTATCCCTATCCAAAAGAATATACAAAATCAATATCTTCCGTTTATTTTGGGAGTGCTGTACTGTGACTCTGTCTTTGTTACTGCCTGTCCATGCTGTGTCGCTTGTCAGCGGTTCCGCGTGCAATACTCTGGGCTGTATATTTGTCCGATCACCTCCAACCACCCTGGTCTTGCAGACACCTCAGCCGCCCCAACCATCTCGAACATATCGGATTCACATAGACGTGCTTTTACCTTGATTTTTACCTTGCTGCTCAACCCTCTCCGGTGTGCTTGTCATCAATAGTGCGCCAGCCCCGGACTTGGAGCCTCAAGGATGACACCCGGGTCGGGTGCGCCGTTGGCTGGGTCTGTCTGACGACCCAATACTCCCAGGCCTCTCTTGACCATACAACGAGAGCCAAAAGCATAAAAAAGCATTGATGTGGCGTTTCTGGTGCAAAGGGCCATTTTCGGGCGTGGTGGAATGACGTCTAGAGAACAGCCACGCAACAGCCTTCACGGGTAGTCCCGATCACACCGAAAGCGGCAGCCGCCGCGGCAGCGCTTCGAGCGCAAAGGCAGCATACGTGGTGCGATTGGCCGAATAATTGGCTGTGATTTGATCTCGGGCGCCAAAGCGTGGACCCAGTTGAATACAGCCGAAACAGTTGCTGATCCAGAACTTGGTGAGGGGCAGCTCAGACAGCTCACTGTCACATATGGCTACAAGCGACGACACACATTTGGCAGCTAGGCTGTCACCCGAACCGAGGTACATACGATGAGATAGAGAACAAAATACGTGCCAGCTATTTATGAGCGATGGTTATAAGATGGGAGGTGCGGCTGGAAGCCTGGGGAGCGCGGATGGCAGGAGAACGCGATGACAGGTGGTTGGGAGGGGCGTAAAAATATGGCAGTGTTTACAACATGTGGCGGTAGAATGGAGCATAGCGATGGTTACAAGACGTGGTTGTGGAATATGGCTCATAATGGGACGAATAAGGGTGACGGCGAAATGTAGTGGCGGACGGAGGCTCGGAATGTGCTCGGAATGTGCTCGGAATGTGGCTCGGAACGTGGCGCGAAGTGGGCGACAGAATACGGTGGTGGCGAAGGGAGCGTTTTGGCGAGCAAGGCCCGAGTCGCGAAATATTCGATAGCCGTGAGAATTGGCAAAATGAAGAGAACGCGCCTTTCCGGAAGTTACGAGTAGAGGGTGAAGGAAACGTCAATATCGCTTGCAGTGGGTCGAGTGCAATCAACCGAGCGAGCAATCTGGACGGTTGCCTCGATATAACGCATCGTTCCGATGGCAGCCCCACATAGGCATCGCTCTAGCTAACAGTCCATATGTATATTGCTTCAAACAACACTCCAGGCATGTGAATTGCTTTGGCCAGAGAGCAGGACGTGCGAGCGACCAAACACGAATCCGACCGCACCGGCAGGTTCGTCGGCAAAGTTGCTTGGACAGCAACACCCTTATAGGCCCCTATTCAATGAGATCAGCGAGCCGCTCTGATTGTTACTGAGCTGCATTTCGTTGGCTCTGTTCGCCCCCTCCGCCACTTCCGGGTTCCCACGTCATGAACGTGCGGTTGCTGTTGCCGAGCATCCGATGGGCGGCATCACTCGCTTCGCCACACCACACCTCGGTTTCGCGTCTCGCTGTTCCCTCGCCGACAGCTTTCCTGCCACGCATCGGCCCGAGACTGCAATCGCTGCTCCTCTGCATCTCGTGCACTCCGTCACCACTCTCATTCCCTCTGTGTGCACTGACATGTTCATCACCCCTCATTTCTGCTTTGTCGTTTCGCTTCTTTGTGAATCCGCTTCTTTGTGAATTCGCTTCTTCAGTAGTTCGTTTCGTTGCTAATTCGCTTCTTCGTTGCGCACTCCCTCCGCTTTGCATATCCACTCGGCCGAGTCCGATCAGGATTGCGATCGAGTGTGCGACTCGCTCGTGGGCTGACAAGAAACCAGCTCGCTGGCCGGTTGCTAAATCGATCCTCCGCCGGCCCTCCATCGCGAACTCGAGTCATCCTGAACTCGACCGTCGCCAATCGACCAGCCCATCCGCTTCACCGGATTGAATCGTATTCCAACTTCAGGAGAGCGAGGCTGGCCCGATGCGCACCTGTGTCCCACTCTGATCTTTCGTATGCCGGCTCGGCGTCATGTTGCGTTTAAAGTGGGCTTCGCTTCGTGGTACATGGTTTCGTTCGCTCCAGTCTCCCCTCCATTTTCCTCACACTACTCCCACATCTCCCCGTACCAGTTTTAACCACGCTCTTGTCGCCAGCCTGGGACGTGTCGAGTTTCGTCCATTTCCAATTTCAATTGTATCTACTCGTGCAGCATAATTGTTCAGTAACCCAATTCAGCACAATCATGGTCATCAGGGTGATTGCTGTGACGTGTTTATTGGCTCCAGAGGCACATGCGGCAGTTGTTACATCTCCATTGAGTTGTCCTGGATGTGATTGTCAATTCCGTTAGTGCTCATTTTTTCACTTCCTTCCCATCCCCGCTGCTGTTGGCTCGCTACCTACCTGCTTCATTGCGGGCAATTTACTCTTCACCATTCTTGCGCCCTGTCGCTTCAGCAGCTCCGATATACCAGCAGGCTCCAGTTCGTAGTTCGAGTGAACATATGGAAGCGGCAGGGTCTCCTGACCAATAGTGATTCGGAGCGGGCCGGATGGCAGCAGCAAGATGGTGAATCGGAACTGTGCGCTGACTACTTGCTCCGACTCATGAACTCTGTCTTCATAGAGTGTGCTGTGAGGGATCAGAATCTGGTGCTGGAGTGGTTCCTGCAGACCCAGTTTGTGCCGAGGATCCATGTCGAGCAAGGTGCGCGTGGCGAAAGGGAAGAAGCCAAACGTTTCAGACGCAACACTGAGGGCGGCACGCGCGGCTTTGAGCTTCAGGTTGTAGGTTTGGTTGGCATCTCGCTGGAGGATCAGAGTCTGACGCGGGTCATCCGAAGATTTGGCCTTTCCGCTTCCCGAAGTCATAACAATGTTGACCGAGTAGGCCTGGTGCTCCTCAAAAACAAAGTCGTCTGGCAGAGACTCGAGAGTCGGCTGTCCTGGAATCGTCTGGGGACCATCATTGTGTTAGCTGTTGACTTGCTGTTCCGCGAAAGCTGCCTCTCGATTGAATAGGTTGCTCGTCCATCTAAGCCACAGCGCTCTTGCAAATTGCTCGCGAGTGTGGTGACATTGGCCTCAGCCTCCATGCAAGTACGCAGTGTTCCTTACATTCACGGGAGCCTGAAGAACATAGCGCTTCATCAAATGTGTCTCGACGCCTTCGACAACTCGGCAGTTGAACGCCGCTGCGACGCGTTGGATCGCTTCGACCAAATCGTGACTCTAAAAAGATCCAGGGACGATCAGCATTTGGCGTAGCTGCAAACTATGCCCAGCGGGAATTCTTTGGCCGATCGGCGCAGCTCATATCCGGATCTGATGCCTACCTTCATTCCGGGCTGCACGATTCGAGCCGCTGCCTCAGCAGCATAGTGAGCGGCACAAACAACGTCCGCTGCGCGGCCTGAAATCGGACAAGCGCAAATTTATCGAGTCAGTGCGTCAGTCACATATGCCAGCAGTGACTGCCGATAATGCATCGATATTGCACCGTAACCCATATCCATATGGCAGAGTCTGGCTCTAAGTTGGGGGCTTTAACCCAAGTCAACGAGCGAGTGGCCATATTATCACGCATCGCTTTCACAATACAGCCCGCACGACCCATGAATGGGCCGGCCGTGTGTCCGACTGCAACCAATCGATTCCCTTCAGCGTACCGGTTATGGGCGTCTGAGGCTGGGGGTTGACGATGACCGTGTGTCCAAGGACAGCGATATAGCCTATTGCCCACGGAATGAAGCAGTATTAGAGGACTGGACTGGAGAAACGGGGATGACTACAACATAGGTCGGTGGAGCGCCAGCCAAATGGAATACCCGCCATCAATGTGGACACCAAGCTCGCTGTAGGAGTGTGAAGTCAAACCATGTCAATAGGACGGTTGTCGATTACATGAATCGCTTGCGGGCGACCACTCGTTGATGGGCTCGACGGTCTCGGACAGGCAACGTGCGGCTCTCACTTACATCTTGACAACATCTCCTGCGTTCAGCGTTGTTTCATCTTCGGGGAACGGGGAGAAGTTCTTCACGACGTTGTTGATGTTGAGTGACGTTGGGAAAGCAATTCCACGTTCGACTCCCGACTTTTTGAAGACCTTCGAAGTCTGATGCAGTAGATGATCAGCGGCTCACCTTCGATCTGCTCGTACGACCAACACAGTCATTGCTGCCGCCACACACCGATCCCTCCAAGGACCAAGCGAGGGGCTTCGTAGCAGACGAGACACTACCATATCCAGGATCATATCGTCTCCGAGCCTGCAGATGTCGACAATCTTGCGCCCGGCAACGCAGGCCGCGGCAACGGTTTTCATTGTTTCTAGGGATAAAATGGCGACCCGGAGTTAGGATCGCGTTCCATTACGTTCACAGTGATTTTGTCCGATGGTATCCACGGTATCAAAGCGACAACTGTGCTCACCGTTGGCGAGGTCGGCAGCGGTTCGGTACTTGGTGACGACGTTGTCGGAGAAGAAGTTGTCCTCCTCCATGCGCTCCGCGCGATACAATTCCATGGCGTCCATGTTGCTTCACAGGCAGGTTGGATCGGTGGCTAATGGGCTCTGGTTCCAGTTCCAGTTCTCGCTCTGGTTATGGCTCTGGTTATGGCTCTGGCCGGTGGTCGAGTCGGCTGCGTTGGCAAGAACGTCGTTTTCGTTGGCTCTGTGGGCGGACCTGCTGCGGCGACCCCGGTCGCCAACAGAGAAAAAAATATGCGGCTTACCTAATATATGGCTGCGCAGCGAGATTGAAGCTCCGCGTGCGCGGCAGACCGGCCATTTTTTCGACCTCGACGACCAGGGCGAGGCTGGCATCGACCAACATCCTGCGACCGACTCTCTGCGCCGTCCGTCAACGCTGCGGGACTGACGCCGGTAGCCCCAAACGAGCAACAGCCTGCTGCTGCACGCCGGACTGCAGCGACTCAGCCTGCCAAGTTTCTCCCGACCGGCGAGTTAACCGCCCCAGCAGAACCGCTATGGCTTCCGACGTAAGCCTGCTCTTCTGGGCTATTCTGACGGCGGGGAAACAGTGATCTCGAGCACGAGCCACCGAAAGCGCATTGCGAGCGCCGTAGTACTTGGAATATATAGCTATATGCCCGATAGTCGGCCGCGTTTCTCGGCGGACTTGCACCGCATCACTCAAGCTCGTCTCAATTCACCCAGGACGACCAGCCCGTTCCTCCGGCACTCGAGTTCGAATCGCATGTATTTGATATTGCTTTCCACCCCAGCGAAGATATCGTCGCTGCGGGCCTCATCACGGGCGAAGTACATTGGTGGGTGTCGACATCTGAGGACCGCCGCGGCCGATGTCACTCGATCGCCTTCCGGTGGCGCTAACGCTTTCGACTCTCCTCCGCCGTTCGGACCTGTGGATAAAGCTATAAGCTGAATGTCGGCGATGGGGCCGAGAACAGCCATCTCTTCTCATCGGATCACCACAAGAAGTCATGTCGAGCACTGGCTTTCAGCCACAATGGCGATTGTAAGCGTTGCTGCGCGAGGGGCCCGGTGGGCAACTCGGCTATCGGCTGTCTGTACAGTGGGCTTGATCGCTGGCGACCATTCTGCTACGAATGAGGGCCGCACAGTCTTGAAGTTGTGTTGTTGATAGGTATCTGGATCGCCAGCTCTCTATACCGCCTCCAAAGACAAGTCGCTTCAGGTGCTGGACTCTTCCACCGGGAAGCTGAAGCTCCGGAAGGCCGACGCCCATGAGTAGGTTTGTCCGCACATTGCTCATCACCGATGGGGCGATATACGTGAACAAAGGCTGCGGCACGCTGTCGATATTCCTTAAGGATGGGAAATCGCAACCCAGACTTATGAGCCGACCATCCGCCCGCACTCACCCGTACCATAGCGATCCCCTCAACTGCCTGCTTAATCTGAACGAGAACCTGCTCGCGTCCGGCGACGACGGTGGCGCTGTCAAGGTGGGGGCTTTGATCATATTGCAAAGGATTTGTTGCTTGACGTTTTCTGCCCCACGTCCTCAACCACGCCATTTGGCCGATGCAGATCTGGGACCTTCGACAAAAAAAGAAAGTCATCTCGTGGAAGGAGAATCAGGACTTTATTTCGGACATGAGCTTTGTTGCCCACAAGAAGACCCTCGTGGTTACCAGGTTAGTACTCTGTTGGGGACACAAGATGTAGTCATATGTCGCCCATCGACCAAACGGCGAGCTAACTTCCACCACTCGCCTGATACAGTGGCGATGGGTGCCTGTCGATCTTCGACATACGAAAGCCAGCGCCTGTGTGCGTCTCGGATAACCAGGATGACGAACTGCTCTCCGTCGCCATCGTCAAGGTAGGCTGCGTCGGGACTTTAATCGAGTGCGCATCTGGCCGCACGTCACTGGGCCGTCGCCTGACCTGTAATCGACTGTCCTGGTAGAATTACAAAAAGGCCGTTGTTGGGACACAAGATGGTGTTCTGTCGATATTTTCATGGGGCAACTGGGGAGACTGCACCGACCGCTTTCCCGGACATCCATCCTCGATCGACGCCATCGTCAAGATCGACGAAAATACCATTTGTACCGGATCCAGTGATGGTCTGATTCGCGTCGTGGGCATTCTGCCGAATCGACTCATTGGTATCCTGGGCGATCATGGCGAAGGCATGCCGATCGAGCGACTCAAGCTCTCGGGCTCCAACAGCTGGATCGGGAGCTGCTCGCATGACTCTGTTGTCAAGTTCTGGGATGTTGCGTATCTCTTTGAAGGCGACGAAGATGAGGACGAGGGCACGGCCGCCGCCGAAGAGTCGCTTCAGGCGCTCATCAGCCAAACGATTCGAAGCTCATCGGCCGATGACCAAACTCACGATAACCAAAGCGACGAAGACGACGACGATGAAGACGACGATGAAGACGAAGACGATGGTGACGATGATGAAGATGACGATGTTGACAAAGACGATAGCGATGATAACGATGTCGATATTGACGGTGATGTCGATATTGACGACGACGACGGCAACGATGTCGCTCTTGACGATAATGACGATGGCCACGAAGATCAACCAGCGACAAAGTCTGCTCCCCCGAAAGATGCGGTTGTTTCAATTTCCGCAAAAGCCAAGGGTAGCGGGCCGTTGGTCAAGAAGCGGGCACCCCTTATCATTAACGGCAAGGACGTCGCCAAGCTGGCAGCAGCCGCAACGGCTCGCGAAGCAGAGGAGCGGAAGAAGCGAGCGCTGCCAAAGGAGTCCGGCAAGGAATCTGGCAAGAAAACGGGTGGTATAAATGGCGACGACTCTGACGACGATGATGGTGACGACGACGACAATGACAGCGGCGATAGTGACGACAGCGAGCGCAAGTCGAAGAAGAAGAAGCGAGTCAAGTGCAAGACCATGTTCGCCACTGAGAATCCCAAGCGATCGTCGTTCTTCTCGGCTTTGGACTGACGATCCCTGCTGTGAAGTTCTGGAGTTAGTATGCGCTTCTCAGTCCTGGCCATATTCTCGTTTTTGGAGTGCGCCATTGAATCTCCATCTCATTAGCGGCCCTGCAAATTAAAGCATTGGTTGTTGCCGTCTGGCTCACAGCTTCTTCATTTGGTATACTGGGTGAGCGTGAGTGGCCTATTCGCTGTCCTTGCACATAAGCGCTTCCTGTGCACCACGTCGAGGAATGAACTGCCCCTCGACCAAGCCATTCTACTTCGCCTTGTGGGCGATTGCCGCATGATCTGCACGAGCCACTTTTCATGCTGCAGGCCAGTTGCGCCTTTGTTATGAGAAGTGCCTATGGCCAGCACAGCCAATCATTGGCTTGATTGAGGCAAAAAAATTGCCAGTGCTGGCGGACCCTCAATCAATCACACGTTCATCCGCCATTGATGGTGGGTAACCGGCAAGCATTGTTCATATGCTGGCCCGCAAGAATCGTAGGTGACTGTCGGGATATATAGCGCATTGGTTCCCTGCGCCGTCTCTACTCGGCATCTCATCGCGCGACAACGGCGGCGACCTCCAGTTAAACCATTTGCTCTTGCCTCCTCAAACCCTCGACTCTTAGCAGCCACCTGCAATGTCAAAGACTCCCGAGCCTCGTGCTGCATCGAACGCAGAGGGTGACGAGGACCAGCTCTCGATTGACACGGTCAGCACCATGGCTAACCTGACACTGGGCTTCCAAAAGATCCTGATGAGCCAGCTAGAGTACTCTGCCTCTCTCCAGTCACGTCTCCAAGAGTCCGAGCGAGTCCTCGGAGACCTTGCGATGGCTCGAGAAAGAAAGCGCCAGAAGGATCGCCGTCAAGGCCATGTCGATACGGACGACGACAGCGATCGCGATGATGATTTCAGCGACGATGACGACGTGCTTGCTCAGGACCATGGCCAAAAGAACCTAAAAGTCCTCTTTAAAAACATCCAGGCCGGTCTGACAAAGGTCAGCCACGCCCAGAGCGAGATTACTCGCAAGGCCGCCCAGGTCTTTGAGCAAAAGCGCCTGGCTGAGGAAGCTAAGGATCACGCCGCTCTCGGCGAGTCGGCTTGTCCCTTCAAGCCGCTCCTGGACCACCAAAAGAAGGCCGGTGTGCCCGTCGATGCCTCGGCCTGTCCCTACATGTCCCAGCACGCGAAGAAAGCTGAAGCGCAGACCGTATCCGACGCGGGCCAGTGTCCATTTCGACGCTCCCAGGACACTGAGCAGGCCAAGCCCGTAGGCAAGGTTGCTGTGGGTCAAGAGGATGCTCCTTCTGCCACCGGCGAGACCGACAAGGCACCCGGATCGAGATGTCCTTATCTGGCTGCAGCCAAGCAAAACAACACTCCTGTTGATGCACTCAGGGCAACGGAATGTCCGCACATGGCTGGGCTCCTCAGCCAAGCTCCCAAAGATGCGCTCAACTGATTTTGGCCAGCCCAGTGATCGCCCAAACGATCTCGACTCCTTCAGGCGAGCCCATCTCTTCCGAAAATACGATCCTTTGATGAGGGTTGACGCCGTCCTCTCGCCGACGCATCAGTTCGCGGACGGACAGGGCACGATTGACTCCCATCCCAGATTCTGAATACATACACTTCATGCAACAGCCGTTCACCGCATGCTCGATAGCCGCGTTGCTGCACTGCGATATGGCACATTCCTTCCGAATGACAGCGCACCCGAACGGAAACAGAACATCCTGTTTCGGTCAGGCGTGTTGCTCTTTGAAGGGTCCTGAGTACACATCCATTACTTCACTACGATGTCACGACTCCTGCTGCCGCACAAAGTGAAATCGCGATGTCAATGCGGTGCGCAACATGATCACTGTGCGTAGGGCGACTATGGAGACCAGGAGGCAGTTGTGGAGAAAGAAGGGAGACCCGGGACCTTCACTCAGAGACCGCTGATCATCACAGACGACGCGAGCACAGCGAAACTGGGAAGTGTCCCATTTTCTTCTGAGCAAAGCGCAAATGGAGCACCCAGATATCGTTCGTGAGGAAGGATGTAGCTACTGAGCGAGCCCATTAACGGATCTTGGTTGGACCATCCGTGGTTCATGAATCCTGCGTGTCCGTGGCTTCCACCGGTCGATCTCCATGCGTGATGATGTACTTGCGCACGACGACCATGCTCCTGATGCGTTGGTACCGCGATGTTGGATTATGGTGCACCAAATCGATGAGGCATTGTTGGTCAACAGCATCCATGAGCACACTTTGGTGGTGGGGCTGCTCAAAATGCCCGAGGTGCACCAGACGATGGGGACTGGGGGGAATCGTCGATCTTGGAAAGTCGCAACTGGATATCAACAGAGCGTCCCAACCAGGCGCCGTATACCGCTACGGTTGATCATCCAGTTTCAGAAGACTTCTTCGGCCATAGCCGTGGAGCCACACCCCGCCAATGGTCTGTGACCAGCTCCCAGAAGCGCTCGAGCTCGTGGTAAGTCAGACACATTGTGGACAGACGGTATCGGTATGTAGCAACACAGGCAAGCAAAACGAATACCAATCCACAAAATTTGGTTGCATCGAGTTGGCGGGGGTGTGTTCGCCTTCATCAACAAGGCCGAATACTCCATCTGATGGAGCTAGAGCGATACACGGGACACCCGCTTCCATCAACATGAAGTATGTGATGAACTTGCGTCTAGCTAAGCCATATGCAATAAAACAAATCACCCCCAGTCGCTCTCCAGTCTCTACAATCGACATGCACTGCTCAAAGTACCGAGCAAACCGCTCCTCCTGGGACTGGATGTATAGCCCTTGCCTTGACGCCATGGCGCATTGCCAGCGGTGAATGGTGCTCTTGGACGCACTGAGTGTGGAGGCAGCTTTTCTCAGACAATGGATGACAGTGTAGCACCGCATCACAGAATGGCCATGGCCAGCGCGCGATGGTATTGGGAAACAAATATTCGGTCAATAACCAAAAACCAAGGTGTCCCGTTTTTTATTGGATTGACTAACAAAACAGCGGAAGCAAAGCAAAAACAAGCCGGAGCAAAAGCAAAAGACAAGCAATCAAAAGGCAACGGCCAAACAGCCAAAGGTAGGGCTGGAATACAAGTACGCCAGGATAGATGGCAAGCAAGAGTCTGCCAGCTGATCAGCCGCGGAGGCTCTGCATGGACGCAGCGAATACACGAGTCAGTCGGCGGGCGAGATCGCCGATGCACACAAGACTGTGCTGATGCTGCCCAAAGATCACCCTGGAAGCCATCCGGGAGCTAGGTCATCAGCCTTATCGGCGGGTGTTGGCTGAGCCATCGGCCACCGCTTGGCCAACTTGAAACACTCGGATGATGGCATCCTTGAAGTAGAAAAAGTTGTAGTCGATCAGGCCCTGCTTCTCAAAGTTCTCGGCGCGAATCAAGCAGACTGCCGCGAGGTATCTGGGGTGGAGGATGGCAAGCGTTCGTAAGCAACGCCGTCTGCGTCCGAGTCGCTCCAGCAAGCTATTCGTTCATCCGACTCACGCGCCAGCCTCGCCTTGCAGTGAGGACAATGCCGCCCAGCTGCTTTAGGAGACGAATACTGTACTGGCTGATCTCCCGGTAGTACAGAACCATATTGTTATTGAGCTTGATGATCGAGTAACCTTCGGCAGAAAACGCATCGGAGCTCTCTGACGTCTGGGAAGGTTGGAAGCTGCAAGAATGATGACCCTCAGTCGGCGTGTGCGGTGAGCGACAACACGAGCAGCCTGTTAGGCTCCTCCTCTGTTTATGGAGCTGCAGAACGGACTTGCATACCGATAGATGCTTGAGATATCAAACACAACATCGATCATGTCGCTGCATAGCTCGTAGGACTGGATGTCGACTGGCGAGTTATCCGTAGCGATATAAATTTTGGAGGTGATGTCGAATAGGAAGGCCTTTTCGATGCCCGAGTTCTGGTGGGGCAGGATACTTGGTGTCAGACTGTATGCAGCCAAAGCCGGTAGTTTTTGGTGCAGCTGCTGACCCCATGGCTCAGATTGAAGGAGCGGGCACTTTTGCAGACTGCTCAACCAAGTACTATTTCTTGATCATCCAGACGAAGAGCAGCGGGAGCAGGAGCAGGAACATGAGCAGGAGCGACAATCATGGAGCGTTACCAAGCAAAGCATGTTCAAAATATTTTCGAGAGTCGGCAGCTGCGGAATCAGCTTCTGGATGACTTTTGAAAAGGCCTCAAAGATCGAGTGGTCGTAGATGGAAGTCAAGTAAAAGTTGATGGGGATCTCGGCTATGTTGTAGTCGGTCAGGATATCCATAATCATTTGATGAATATCCTTTTGCGTCTCTGGGGGAATGCCGAGAAGGGTGCCACGGAAAGAACGGAGGAGGGAGTTTCAATGTCGTCAGTGGACTTTTGCGTCCGGGGACGTTATGCCACTTGGTTGATCATCCCTATTCGAAATTGTGCCGACGACTGGCCATACGACGCACGGTGACCCCAGCCATCAAGCGAGAAGCAGACGATCTGGGTGACGCACCCATTTTGTGATCCTCAGATAGGCCATCAGACTTGTGGATAAAGACCTCATAGGTGATGTTCTCGTTGAGGGTGCGGATCTTGGCGATTGTTTCGACAAGCCGGTGCACGGCCCTGTTGTACTCATCCTTTTGAGCGGACGAGAGAGATGGTGTCGTTGTACGGAAGTCGTTATTGATGAGATAAATGAAAGGCGTCCTCTGTCCTCGAGGAAGCTAAACAGCCAGCCGAGATCAGGCCGACCTATGCCTGTCGCGACCGATCGATGGTTGCAACAGCCATTAGTCTGCAAAGCCGCCGTTACCTGGGCGTCGATAACAAAGCCTAGCGCCCCAGGAACGCTGAACATGGACTGGTCATAGGATGCATCGTCGAAAAAGTCGATTTGTCCCGGAAAGTCCCATAGCGACAGATTCATGATCGAACTGGGCGTGGCGGCATTGGGAAGAGTTGGACGGAAGCCACAAGATGGGCAGAGGGATCGCATAAGCGCCAGTCCGATGCAGAAAATACGCCGCTCATCCAGACGAGCGTTGGTCCCAGCAGCGACACAGCGCGGCCAGCTGCTGCATTTGAGCAACCCAGGCCTCGGAGCAAAGTGGCCAACGCTCTGGCTTTGACGGGTCGTCCATCCACAGTCCACAAACGCCGATACTACTTGCAGCGGGGTTGTATCATACACCATAGATGATCGATCCGCATTCGCCCCCCCCCATCCAGCGGTCAATAGTGACAATATCCATGGAGATAGTTACGACACGCGGCGCTTCTGGATCGAGGTGGTGCTCGACAGGAACAGGGTCTCGTTTGGTGCCATTTTCTGGAAGACGACGTTGAGGATGCTGGACTTGCCGCTCCTGAGCCAGGGGACACCAACCACGACCAGAGCAGGGACGAGACCGACGATTGAGCACAGCGGCATCGGAAGCGGAGAACATGGTGCTGGTTCATCTGCCGCACCGAGAGTCGTAATGCAGCGATCAAGGAGCACACAGCATACCTCTTGAGGCCCATCATGTATAGCCGCCGGCTATCGATAACGGGCGTCGAGCCGTCAAGGTTTTCCAGCAGGTCGTAGCTGGACGAGTGACAGGTGGAGGATCAGCTCACAGCTCGCAGCTCACAGCTCACAATCGAGCCTCGTGCCCCTCTGGGAGGTACGGCATATGAGACATGACGCTATCTTGGGCTGGATAGAAGCCAGGAGCTCGAGGTCTGCTGGGCCTTCAGCGATGCTGGTCCGGGGCAACAGCCGGCCTTTGAATGAGAGACCTTGGCGCGAGCGATTTCACCGGCGGCTCCTTTGTCTCATTCCGTTGGGGCAGCTTTGCAACAGAAACATGGATCGTAAGGCGACTTACTTATCGTTGGGGACATCGTGGTGGATGCTGCCGTAGGGTCGGATGGTGTCGGAATCGATTTCGTAGTGGGACTGCGGCGGGAGGAGAATGCCAGTCGGCACACCGGTTCAAAAGACAGGCAGACAGGCAGACAGGTGCTTGCCGAGCAGTAGGAACGCATGCAGCAGATGGACACAGATGCCGATGCAGACGCCATATGATCGCCCAGGGTGCCATACCGCCATCGCTGTCTGGGTGATTCGCCGGGTCTGGATGGGTCGAGGAGAGAGGGCGCCGACGGCGAAAGCTGAAATGTCGGTGCGCGGTCACGTGGCGACCCGCCCGAACCCAAACCAGCACAACGACGGCTCGACAGGGTTGCTTCCTGGGCCGAGACGACGGAAGGCAGGGCCGGGAAAGCCGCCGAGCAGCGATGGAGATGGATGATATCCTGGTGGATTGAGCGGTGCCTTCGCCTTTGGCCAGATCGGTGCCAGCCAGATCGGCGAGCAAGCGCCTGGGCTTCGTCTCGTCGTGCTCCCCAGGCCAACGACCATCCCGGATCTTTCCCGGATGCGGGCACCAACTTTGGTAGCTCTCCACAAGTCATCCGTGTGTGAAGATGTCCCGTTTGAAAATAAGTCCACTGTATTAACGCTTTGTCCAGATAGGGTCTCGAGCCTGCAGCGCAACCTGCAGCGCAACCTGCAGCGCAACCTGCAGCGCCAGCGATGTCGCAGCAGACAGCATCTAGAACTTGCATTTTTGCATCAGCACCGCAACGAGAAGCTCAAATCCAGCCTTGTCCTCTTCGTCAAAGACGTTCTTCTCGGAGGCGTCAATGTCCAGGACACCGACGATCTCGGATTCGTTGCTCGGGGCCACGAGCGGCACCACGATCTCGCTCTGGCTGGCCGAGTCGCAGGCGATGTGTCCGGGGAACTCGTGGACGTCCTTGACGACGACGGTCTCTCGTCGGGAGGCTGCGGCACCGCAAACGCCTTTTGCAAACGGGATGACGGTGCAGGCGATTCGGCCCTGGAACGGACCCAGGACCAGGGTTTGTGGGTGGCTCTCACGGTGGTGCAGATAGAAACCCACCCAGTTGACGGGGCGAGAAACGGGCGCATCGTTGAGCGCAAAGTATATCAGCGAGGACAAGTTGGCCAGGTTGGCGGTGGTTGGGAGAGTCGGGTCGATGAGGGCATTCGGCCGAGGCGACCAGGCTGGCATAGAACTCGGCCTTGGTGCCCGAGGCAACGGAAGGGAGAATGAGCATGGCGAGGAGGCAGGAAGGCGTCGGTGGAAAGGTGGCGTCGATAGGGCGATGATGAGGGGGGCAGAGTTCCGTCCTGGATCTTGTGCGGTCTGCGGGTGATGGAGAAGGCCGGGAGTTGCGATCGGGACGGTTGGCCATGGGCGGCAGCGTGCCGGCCCGGCGGAGCTGACGAACGCAATCCGGACCACGCCCCATGCCCGGAAGCTGGACTCGGTCTGGGCTGGCATGCTGGAGATCAATGGTGCCCACACAGGATGCAGACCAGTCCATGGCCATGTCTTCTCACGGCGTGCTGCCTCTGCATCATTGCGGCGGGCAACAGGTGTATCGATTGTATTTGAACACGCTGAGCCAGAGATCTGCAGCAGCCATCACGACTTTGCAATACACGGGTAGCTCTGGCCTTCGAAAGTGAACTGGCCGTGGCTGTAGATGTTGTCGAGAGCAAGCTCCAGCTTGGAGTTTGATCCTCGGAGCCCTGCGAATAGAAGCCAGAGGAGAGCAGTTATTGACTCGTCCAGCCAATGTGCTCCATGTCCATCACAAGGACCCACAGCCTGGCTCGCAAGGACATACCATCGGTGACTTTCTTGGCCCAGGCAAAGTACTCGGCAACTCGCTTCTGATCCCTGGTGGCGCATATCGGTGAGTTCAGCATCAGAAGGGTTGCGACAGAGACAGGCAGCCCTCCAGCGGATACACTTACCAACCGACTGGCGGCGTGTGCTGCAGATCTCGCAGATTGTACAGCTGGCGGAGAATCGCCGATGAGAGAGACGCATGACGAAGATCGATGACGGAGGTCGATGACGAAGGTCGATGGCGTCAGCGGCGGTATTGGCGATGATGCCGGCTCTGGGAGCAGCGGCCACACCGACTCCACCCGGGTAAGCCGGGGGTTCCTGGCTCGGTCTGGTTGAGCGGCCTCACCTTGTCAGCGAGCTTGACCAGCTTGGCCTTGGGCGATTTGTGCGAAGCGGTTTCGATCTGGAGCCTGTTTCAGACCGGCAGTATTGGAAGGATTGGCCAGCAACAGAGCCGTCCGCCAGCCGCCCGGCAATCCCCAGCCCACTGTCCCGCTCAGACAGGCGTCGGCTACCTCTTGCGATCGACCGACGGCAGGGTCTTGTCGTCAGTGCATTCCTTTACGATCGACATGACCTCGTGTCCAAAAACCTGTTCGAGCTGTTGAGAGCGAAAGGTGTGTCAGTCATCGGCCGCTGTCGGACCAACAGCAATCCGGCTGTTGCAAGCAGACCGCTATGCAGCGGGTATCGACCGACCTCTTCGAAGGAGGTTTCAGTATCCTCGACTGGTTGGGGGAGGCGAGCGATAGCAGTGGTCAACAGTTGGCAACAGCCGGTAACAGTCGGTAGTAATTAGCAGCGTCGGCAGGTCAAACAGCGTTGGCTCGGTGTGTCGGTGTGTTAGACACCATTATCGACGGACAAGACGCAGCGGCAGAGGGACCATCGGGTCAAAACAGCTTGTGCTGCAGACAGGCAGGCCGGTATGTCGAGCAGGTCCGGACGGACGAGCAGTGGTCCAGCGCCCTACCAGTATCGTGGAGCACGGCGGCCTGAAGAGTCGCTGTGTCCTCGACACCACCTTCGTGCAGGAGGATATAGGCGACGCCGACGGGATGGTTGATGTAAGGCGTGTGGCCGTCCTTGCGCAACTGCGAGCGATGCTTGATGGCAGCAAAGTTGACGGCGGTAAGGAGTTCGCCGATGGGAGCCATTGCAGCGGTGACGGCAGAGAGGAGGTTGCGTTGCGGCTGCCGAGGGCCGGGAAAGGCGATCGAAGCGAAGGATGGCTGCGAGCGGCGACTGGATCAAGCGGCAAGATGAACCGAAGGGCGGATGTGGCCGGGCGGGCCCGCCTGCCTGGACTGAACGCACTCGCACCGATCGGATGAGTTGTGGTTAGTTGTGGTTAGTTGTGGTGGTTGTGATTAGTTGTCTTTGGTTGTGATTAGTTGTCTTTGGTTGTGATTAGTTGTTCATTGATATCAATGGGGCTGATCTTCCATTCGCTCCCACAATCATTCCACACCTGTTCTCGCAATCACACCCGCTCTTGCAGTGGCATGTCAGCCTCGGCCCCCCCCCCCGCACCATCGCGGGATTGATGAGTCCTGTCCCATCTCTCCGTTCGGACTCGGCCGTCCCGCCCGCCGGCGCTGGTTCAAGCAAGAGGGTCCTCCCACAGGCGTGTCCGGCTGGAGCGCCGTCGAATGCCTTCGAGGTCGTCCGCTATTTAGCGACGATCGCCGGCTCGGCCTCGGCCTGCTGGCTTCGTTTAGCTGTTGGATCCGTCTCTCCAAGGAGCACTTTGCATCTCGCTGCGATATCTACAACCCTCGCTCAAGCTCCACATCCAGGGCGTGGACAGCCGCTGCACCGCTGCTTCACTTCGATCTGTTGTCTATCCAGAGTCCAGCGTCGCATTGCCCGCACGCCCGGCTTCAGCATCAGCGTCTTACCGTCCAACCAAAATCTCGGTCCATGGATCCATCGTCCTGGGTGCTCTATATATACTTTGTGACAGTCCTGCTTTGGCTGGCCACGTACATCTCCATCATCATCGTCACTCACAACGATGGAACATTTGGAATGCCCACCTTTGCGTTGAGTGAGTCCTGCTTGACTCGGCGAACCGACATCGAGCCGGTCCTTCGAGCCGGTCCTTCGAGCCGGTCCTTCGAGCCGGTCCTTCGAGCCGGTCCTTCGAGCCGGTCCTTCGATGCTGCCCAGCGGCTATCGTCGTTCGCCCCATCTGCTTGTTCATCGCCATGCTCGACTGCTACCGCCGCACTGCCATGCTTATCCGCAACGTCCGTTCGCGACGATCTCATCTTGCTTCCCACGACAATGTTCCCACAGGTCTCCAGTTGACATGGGCATTCTGCTACTCGGTCATGGGCCCCTACACACTGCCCTTCGACTCGTTCAACCCCCAGGTCATCGTCAACTCGGTGATCCTGCTCATGGGCAGCATCTTGACCATCACCACCTGCAGGAGCCTGCTCTCGCCCCAGAACCAGGAGTTTACATCCGACCCGAAACTGCTGGCCCAGATGCTGCCCTATGCCGCCGCCGCTCTCTTTGTCTTTTCATTCTCGCTGCAATGCTGCTTCAAGTACCAATTCTGGGATCCGACCCAGCCGCTGCTGAATCAGGCTTATTCCTTCGCTGCCACGGAAGTATATGCAGCGCTGGCCTTTGTATTGATGCTCATGCGTCGCGGGGACATCCGCGGCCAGCACTGGATCATCGGCGCCAGCAGATTCCTGAGCAGCATCTTCAATGCCATTGTGTCATTGCAGTAAGTCCCGGGCCGTCTCTCTCTCTCTTCCAGTTCGTGAACGGGGAATGCTCCATCTGCTTGCGAATGCGGCTCACATGGGCCCGCAGCGGACGTCCCTTGATTGCTTGGACAGCACATTATCGTATTTCAACCTCTGAACCCTGTATTCTTCACCACACATCCAGGGCATTCCCAACAATCATCATGGGCTGGATGACCACCGTGACGATTCTGATCGATGGCGCATATCTGGCCCTACTCATTCGACACCACACAAAATGGAGTATCCAGGCCAACACGCCGCTCAACCCGGTCCTGCCAATGGCGGGCCATGCTCTTCCGCCCATTCCGAATAACCCGGCTCGGGCTGGCGCTGCCGGGCCCAATCCATAACAAGCCCAGACACCGAGGGAGGACTGTGGCCTCCAGGTGCCAGACCGACAGCAGCCGCACTGGTCATCCGCAAAGCCTTCCTGCCCAGCTCCACTGCTGCCGCTGGGCACTTGAATCCATGTTCAAATCCAATATCCACCGAGACAGAGCAAATGACTGGCATGTTTGCTCTGGCTTTCTTTCCACCAACCAACGACCGGTACCACTCAGGGTTGGACCACTCCCAGACCGGCCAAAACCTATACCGACTCGGAATCGGACAATGCACCGCGCAGCTCGGGGCGGGCTGCTGCCCCTTCGCCAATGACGAGTCCGAGGATAAAGTTCAAGGCGATATATTCCGCCAGATGCTGGTACCGCGATGAGCAGGGGCGATGTTTCTCTATCCCCAAAGACTGTTTTTGCGTCACATCATGATAACACGCACTGTATGTATCTCTCGGGTCGGCTTGTGCCCCACCCAGCTGCATCGTTGGACATCATCGCCAATGGCTGGAGCAGCGCTGTACTAAATGAAGCTGAGGCGAAAGGAACTGAGTGCGGCTTCCGTGTGACCAAAGCTGGCACTCCCTAGTTGATTTGATCCAGCGATTCCAGCTTCTTGCGCTGCAGGATGGCGGTTGTATAAAGCAGGAACGATCCGAAAATCAGAGGATAGAGTGGAGTGAACAAATCAATCAGAGACCATTACCTGTGCCAGATTCCTTCGCCCCTCGGTACATGCATGCCCCACTTACAGTATACAAACAGATGTAAGCTGAAGGGAGGGGAAAATCGATGCGGGTAAGGAGTTAGACGAGGTCAGTTCTTCAATCCGACCGATCGCTCTCGGCAGAGGCGCACTTGTCGAGCATCCCCTCCTCGAGCATTAGTGCTCTCACCGGTGTGAAAGTCGCCGCCACCCTCGAGCTTCGTGATATCGTCCTGCTTGACCATGGAGACCTTGTCGTCGTCAAACTTCCACCACTCATCACTGTTGTCCTGCTTGACCCATCCGATGTAGTGGCCCGAGTCGGCGGCACGTCCAACGTGGGTCAGGACTTGAGCGAGAAGGGTAGCAAGGTCAGTCCACAAGCTTGCGGTGGCAGAGGGCCTGTCCTGGTGGCCAACGAGCTGGCGGTCTCGCATCTCCATGGTGAAGCACTGTGGCTCGCGATTCGAGATCCAGCCGCACACTCAATAATGCCACTCGTCTCTTGAATAGCAAAGCACGAATCGGTGACATCGCTTCCCGGTGCGTGCCGAATCGACGCTCACCAGCAACCAAATCATACACTCCCGAGCTATTGCAGCCCACGTCGTCGATCAAACTTGAATCCACGCCGATATCCTTCATCAGCGCAACTTGGTCGCTCTGGGGAGCTGCATCAATGTCCATCTTCTGCGAAGCCTCGGTCTCGCTGCCGGCCTTGCGCTTTTTCTGAAGGCAGAGCAACGGCGACGTGTCAGCCATAACGCGATACGAGGTTAGGTATGATACGAGGCTAGAACGGACATAAAGCTAGAGTCCTCCTTCTCCTTGCTGCATCAGGGGCTGCAGCAGCACATTCACTGCACCTTGGCATCAGCCTTCTTGTCAGACACAGCTTTGAGGTGAGCCTTGGCCGGAGACAGCTTTTCTTGCAACTCCGCAGTGCAACATGGAGAAATATCGAGCTCGAACGGGAACTTGACTTTCTGTTGGGGGTACCGATTGGCCAGCGAGCAAAATCAGCAAGGCGGTTCGCCGAGGAGCGGAGCCATCGAAATGAGGGTAGATACCCATCGCGGTGAAAGGGAGCTGCTGGGGCACTGCAGAAACAACGCTAAACTCGCAGTGGCATCAGCGGTACCTTGAGAATCTTGGCCTTGATTCTCTCCTGGGCCTTCCACTGGAAGCGAACAAAGTTGATGGCGAGATAGGCAGGAAGGCGCGAGATCTTGCGAGACTTGGTGTGAACGGCAGAGCGCCCCAAGGCCTGCGAGTGCTTTTCGATCTTTTCAGTCAGGCCGTTCAGGATATCGGTCATCATATAGGTCGAAACTGCGAAGCATCAAGGGTGGTCAGCCAAGTGCGGTATCGATTGGATGTCCACGTCGGCCGGCGTCCATGATGCCTGCATTCACAGCATTGTCCACGCGCGACCAAGCGTGGGGAGTGAGCGAGGGATGGCTACGGCAGTCACACAGCGTTTACCTCCGGAACCGATATTGACAGTAAGATCTGTGAACGACTCGATACCCTCCTGTGCAGGTTCGTCGCTCTCATCGCATTTGATGCTGCACGATCGAAGGAGTAGACGACAGGGAGTGAGTGTGTGAGTGTGTGAGTATATGATCATGGCACTTAGCAGAGTCCGCAGATCACTGTCATGCGATCCAGACAGAGCAAGTATCTCGCGCAGCACTTCCACTCCCACAGCCACAGCCACAGCCACTCTAAGGACCAAACCAACCTGGAATACATCTCGCCGGTCAGAAACTGCGAAACAAACTTGGCGTCTGGATTGGCTGTTCCGTCCAGACAGAGTCCTGGAACGGCACCCTTGAGCGACGAGACAAGCTGGCTCCAGCACTCCTGAGCGTCCTGCTGCATGAACCCACGGTTATCGGCCTGGGAAAACTGAGGGTAAGCCAGACGAAGGACCTGCAGGAACACCAGCGGCGTGATCGAGTCGCTCGAGATGCTTAGATTCTTGAGCAGGTCACGAAGGGAGGCCGCCAGTCGGGTGTTGCCATCGGATCCGGCAGGTAGCCTGAGTGCAGATCGTCGAGGTGTCAATTGTGGCGGATGCGACAAGACCAACACTCATGCTGCTTCTGCTGGTCTTGGATGAACACAGCGGCGCCAGCGCAGCCCATTGGAAACAGCGAACCGCTGGCGAGACCAACCACCGTCGACGACTGGCGCGGCAACAACAGGGACTTACGCTGAAAGGGCCGTCGAAAGTTCAGGAATGGCACGAAGACACTGAATTGTTGCGTTCATGTAGCATGTGTTCCCCAGGTTTACAAGACCGGCAGGAATCTTGAGCTGCGACAGCATTGGCAAAGAAAGAGTCGTGCACACATATTGGTGAGCATAGGCTCGATCTGGATGCGCTTGTCTCGGTTGTGCCAGCTGGACTTACTGCCTGTGCAATCTGGTTGTCACTCATGTCCTCGAGGAAGACCGTTGCGGTTGTAGGAACCTTGGGAAGCTCCCCGACTGTGCCCATCATCTGGAACGAAGCGCGAACTCGGCTCGTTAGTGTTTGCGGCACCGACGCTACTTTGGACTTTATCGCCTATTTACCATGAATGAATGGCCCTGTAGAGCAGGTGGAAGACGATGGGAAGGTTGCGAAGCCGAGTTAGCCGTGTATAGGGCCCCTTCGAGTGGGCCTTGAACTCGACGATGAGACAGGCGGCAAATGGCTCTGGCAGGCGGCGAATGGCTCTGGCAGGCACGGTCGGACCACATACATCTTTGAGACCAAGCTTGTTAAAGTCCGTATCGTCCTGGGAGGGGGCAGCAAGCGGTAATCGAAGGTGAGAGCTTGGTCAGGGTGCTGTTCAAGGGGCCATTGCTGACCCGGAGTCTGCAGACGAGAACAGCCAGATTCCAGTCGAGCACACGAGTCACCTTGACGATGCCGCCCTTGATCATGATCTTCTGGCGGTCAGGCGCAACGCCGGTGAGGGAAAACAGCTGGGTCTTGAAGACCAGTCCGGGCTGGTCCGTGTCGAGCTCGATGGCATCGAACTTCTTGCCGCTCCACTTGACGGTGACTGCAACAGTCGCAAGATAAGATCAGCTCGCCACCAGCAAGGCCGGTTCAATCCCGATCCAAGCCCGTTTGGCTCGCAAGGCCCCTTCATCCTCTCCTCCCGCGCTCGATCGGTCGCTCTTGTCTTGAGCCGGTCTCACGCTGACTTGCTCCCCACCTTGCAAGACGGGCATATCGGCAGCAGATCGCAGGGTGTATTTTGTGGTTGTGATGTCGGACCACGCAAGGCGCAAGGGCGGCGAAGTTCGCCAGGGCCTCAAAGCAAGGGCATCGACGAGGGGAGGGGGAGGGGGAGGGGCAAGGGCTGGACAGACACGGCGAGCAGCCCAAAAAGGAAATCGGCGGACGAATCCGGCGGCGTGGTGTCTCATTGGCGCTGATTCGGGCGCTTCGGAGGAGCAATCGAGGCCTGTGACGGACAAGCAGCCAGCAGGATGCACCAGGACAGGGCCGAGGGTCGTTGCGGAGCAGGGCAGGATGCAACAGGACATGGCCGGGAGACAAGGAAGGTGGTTGTTGCCGTTGAACAGGGCCGAGCCACGGCACAGACAGTCAGCACACGCGGCGGCCAGTACAAATACTCCCGGACGGCTGGCATCACAATGCAGCACAGCAAGATAGCACGGCCGTCGTACCTGGATGTCCTGGTGGAGCCAATCAAAGAACAGGGCGCTCAGCTTGCCCAAGAAGCGCTGGACCTTGGACAGCTTCAGGAGGAAGCGGAGGGCATAAAAGCCGACAATGATCATGGCCACGGTCGAGAGCGAAAGATGCGATCCCGTATCCAGGACCCAGTTGTCGGGGTGCTCGACCGCAAACTCGGATACCTTCAGGACTACAGGCGTCTTTGGGTCGGTCGCATAGCCGCTCGGGATCTTTCGCAGCCACAGCCGCAGGGCCTCGTCAATCTCGGGAATCTGCACCTCGACAGACTCGTGCACTACCTCGGAGATGACGGTGGTCACGATCTGCGGAGCCTTGGCCGAGGCAGGTGACGCAACCGAGACGGTCGATGCGGCCGAGGCAGTCGAGCTCGTCGATGCCGTTTTGGCTCCAAGCGTAACCACTTTCTTGGCCTTCTTGGGAATCTTGAACTTGCGCTCAGCCCGAGAAACCTTGAACAGCGACGACATGTGGTCGAACGAGTAGATACGCGGGGTGCGGCTGTCGAGCGACTGATCGGTCGATGCGTAGTCGAAGCTCATACTCATATAGCACAGAGCCGAGCCGAGGTCGGGTCGCAGGTCGGCCTCGGTGATCGGATACTCAAAGAACAGCACTCCGTGCTTGGTGTTGATGATGAAGGGCTCGCTGTGGAAGGTGATGCCTCCGTCTTTGTTTCCGGCGCAGCGGAGAGCTGGCGACGCAGCGATCAGCAGCGATCAGCAGCGGATAGATATAGTGGCAACGGATGAGCCAGAGACGCTGTCAGTCGAGGCCTAGATTTGGGTGCTCACGAGCAGACAGAGTCGCCATACCCATATGGACCGTGGTGTTGATGTAGCTCGAGGTCGTGCCAACCGTGGCAGTGTACTCCAGTGTGACGTTGAAGACTTCTCCGACATGAACCGACTTTGGCATTTTTTCGCTGCCGAAGCTCATGCGTAAAGTGTTCTTCCCCCTCATAAGAGCCTTGGAGATGTAGTCTGGCGGGGGAGGGTCGAGGCATCAGAGGAATGCGACTGCCGCCACAGCCGCTTTCTGTAGTGCAGGAGGGCCGTAAAGTTGAATGTCCTCACCGAACGTGGCCCATGAGAGCAGGATGCCCGCGAGCAATAGCACTTGCAGGATCGACTTTGCGGAGAGCACCATGGCAGGCAGATCGTGGACAGAAATCAGCCAAGGCTCGATTTGGCGCACCACCACAAAGCCCTCTCGGTCTTGGTCTCGGCCTCGGTCTCGGTCTCGCCAATTGGATCATGTGATCTGCATCGTGGTGGGCCCCACTCGTCCTGGTTTGTGCCAAGGCGCGCCGTCCAACATTCGTCGTGCCTTTCGCTCAATCAGACGAAGCGATCCCAACAGGCGACGGCACCATGTCGACTGATCGAGTCGTCCCTCCGCTCAACTTTGCCATGGTGGCACCGGGGGTCTACCGCTCCGGATACCCCAACAAAAAGAACTAGTATGTTGCGTCGACGCACCCTGCGGCCATGCCCCGCAGCCTCTCCAGCAGCGAGCAGCGAGCAGCGAGGCTATCGCGGGACAAGCACCCCAGTTTAACGAATCGCCCTCCCCTTCTCAAACCCCTGCTCGCCAATGCCTGCCTCGACTTCAACACCAAATAGCCCTTTCCTCAAAAAACTCGGTCTCAAGACGGTGATGTGAGTGCAGCGCCGCCGCCCGCACCATCGATCGAGGATATGTGCTTGGTCCTCAGCTTGCTGGTTTCGCCTTATGGCCGCAGGTTCCTGTGTCCAGAGGAGTATTCAGAAGAGAACGTGGCGTTTCTGGAGAGCGAGGGCATCCAGATCTTCCACTACCCGATCTCGGTTAACAAGGTAGATAGATCTGCCGCACAAGCTTCGGCGATGCGGCTCCTCGAGCCCCCCGAGTTCGGACATGAAGCTGAATCACCACTTGCTCTTGCGATGTTTGCAGGAACCTTTCGGCGAAATTGATCAAAAGGACATTGCAGATGCTTTGGTTCAAGTCCTAGGTGAGCAATAGGATACTACGTCACGGCTAACGATGCAAGCGCCGATGATGATCGCCACTCGATCTCCACTGCGAAATACATCGCAGTCACAGTCGAAGCCGTATTCGCATCGGCAGCGGACAACTCATTGACAGGAATAACCCGTTTGTCCATTTTCCTCCTCCGCAGATGTGAGAAACCATCCAAGTAAGCTTTTACGGACACAATAGCACACGTTGCATTCGAAAAAGTCCAATCACTTACTCGACTGAGCTCCTCGGGCGACGCTCGAACAAGTTCTACTGCACTGCAACAAAGGAAAGGTATGTGGCCATCTCGAGCGATTTGGTTGAGCACACCGGAAGACGTGGTGCTGCCTGCATATCCCAAGACGACCGCAATCTTACATGCAATCGCTCATTGCAGCATCGCATAGGCTGTCTTGTGGGCTGTCTCAGGAAGCTGCAAAACTGGTCCATGACATCAATATTCGACGAATACCGCCGATTCGCTGGGCCCAGTATCCGCATAGCCGATCAGGAGGTAGATACACCCGAATACCTCCCATGTGACAGTGCCTGCCCTGTTCTAACGTCGTGTGCCCTGTTCTATAACCACATGTGCCCTGTTTCAACATCGCTTGGCCCGAACTCAGTTTATTGAAGTATTTTCCGAACCCCTCTACTACAATCCGAAACATATTCCCTCTTGGCTGTAGTGTCTACCGTGTTCATGATGGCTGTTGAAATGGAGAGTCCTTGCTGATCTGGTAGCGCCGAGAGTCACTTGTGCTAGCCGTCTCCACCATCCACCAATGCCTCCACCAAGTTCAAGCAGCCAACTGCAAAATCTCTTGGCCGTGACCAGATTGCTTCGGCTTAGACTTCAGAGGCTCGCTTCCTGCGGACACTCAGCTTCCTGAGCCTCTCTGAGAGCTTCGTGATGCTGGTTTCCAGCTTTGTGGCATTCTCGGCCCGCTCATGCAAACTGTGACTCGGGGCTGACAAGGAGACGGGCCAACACACAGCGCCAATTAAGTCGTTGGGCTCTTGTCATCAATACAAAGAGCTGCCCAGCATGTGTTACGTACCATACTGCTCCCGAAACTTTGATGAGATTTCTTTGGCCATCGAAATGATGGAGGCGTAGGTGTTTTCCTCCCATCCAACGGCATCTTCATTGGCAGGAACATGGCAGCTGAGAGCGCTGAACAGACTCGCCTGGGTGACTGCATCCAGCTCAGCGTATATGCTGTTGTGTTGGTTGATGGAGCTGCATGAGCTTCACAGCACGAGCCGCAGCCGTGACCAAGGAACGGGGCCTGCTCTATGGATCCTCAAACGTACCCAATCAAGACACACATGCACATCGTGGCGTTCGAGAGCTTCTGTCGGAGAGTATCGAGGTTTTTCTCGGCCCTGCTGCATGCGGTCATATCCTGGCGCATCTGGTTGCATGCAGAGATCAGTCTGGTTTCACACAGTCTGCGACTCTAACAAATAATCACTGCCCAGGCACTCGTTTGTCACACGCAGCGACCCATTCTCCCATGACCCGAGCGTTCCGGCTGAATGGCCATATCGAAGAGAGACCCACCGAGTCGTACAGTGTGTCAAGGACGAGGGCTAGATGATCGATGCTGGACGGAGCTGTGTCTTTGACTCGGATAAGCAAGCGCTTCTGAGTGATGCGATATAGAGCCGCAGTATTCTCAAGCTCTTGGCGACTGCGGGATGCGACGGCACGAGCTGCGATATGCAGATTGATGACGCTCGAGTATGCCGGCATTGGCAGCTCTTTGATGCTAAAGTGCGGTGGATCAGCTCTGCAAATCATCAGAAATTGTGTCAGCGGACACAAAGGGCTCTTTCCTGCCAAATCATGCCTTGCAAACTGGCCAATGGTAGCTCTCCTTCGACTTACATGCTCTGGCGATAAAACTGCTTCCATAGACCGCGAATTGGCAGCGCAAGGGCGTCGAGAGACTCTGATCGAAATGAAAGGAACCCTGTGGTTGTCGAGGGCGTGTCAGTCCAGCTCAAATTTCACTGGACCTTGAGACAGTCGGTATGCCCGCGACAAGCGAGACTCACTTGCAATACGCGCTTACCCTTCCTTTGGGCATTGATGCACACAACGACACCGTTCCAGTGTCGAAAAGTGATGCACCCGCCTTCCAAGAGAGCATGGTGTTCCTTCGATGTATCGCCTTGGCACCCAGAGCGCCATGCGCAAGTGTCAGGCCAGCATCGACGCCAGCTCACCGTAACGAATGCGCAGCTGCTTTGTGGTCACGAATTCACGCTCTAGCTACCTTCGTAGAGTGCAGGCAGAACTTGATGTCCGTAGTCTGTCTCAAATACAACCTGATGCAAATTGCAAAGTCGAGGAGGCAGTTGAGCAAACGGCCGTGGTACTTCACTGCAAACCCACCTAGCATTATGCTCTCTTCTTGTGTGGCGTTGTGTCCCAACTTACCTCGGTCATTGCCGATTCATCAGGATCGGCAGCGCAAAAGGAGCCACCGATGGTAATCGGCAGATCAATGTCATACCGCTGCCCGATGAGTCGATCTATCGGGTGGATTTGTCTGGTTAAAGCAGCTGCAGCACCTTCTTCCAAGCCTCGTCGCATCAACGCCTTACCTGGCTGGGTTGCGACGGAGAATGTCAACAACACTTGTATGGGCTGTCCGCCATAGAGCCCGTCAGATTCGAGGGCTAAGGAGAATGCCATCTCGCAGCTGCACTCGGGGTCTATTTAGAGCGGCATCGGCATGTAAGCGCCTGTTCTGAAACGGTGTCATCGGGCCAACAGACATCCACGTGGGTGCGTACGTCTGTCACCAAGGAGGGCTGTTTGCAACAGATCGCAGAGTCTTACCGAGATCCAGAGCAGGCTCAACAACATCAGTTATGCGCATGAAAAAGACCGTGGCTACGGATGCACGGATTTCTGTTACGCATACGCTGCCCAAGTTTGATACTTTGACCACACAGCGGGCACGACGAATCCATCCTGTATCGCCGCCATCCAAAAGCGAGTTCTCCTGATGGTTTTGACCTCACGAATCAGCAAAATGACAATCTTGATGGATGGACGGCAGTCAAAGCTGCGCCGATACGACCATCTGCATCGTGAATGGCTGCTATATACAGACAGTCGGCGGGGCGCGCAAATGCCAAGGGAGTTGGCCGTGGCTTTGACTTGGATGAAGACTCACTGGCTCGCAGGTGATGTGAAGTTCATGTTGAACGTCGAGGAAAGTTGCTGCCTTTGAAAGTCCTGGGGAGTAGCACCGATCGGTGATTATGTCGGTATTAGTCGTCCTTGGTTCATCCGAATCTCATGCCCACAGCCAGCTCATCCCCCTTCATTTTTGTTCAGCAGATGAACTGTCAAGACGGCTGCATACGCTTTCCAGAGTCCGAGGTGGCCGCTTCGAGATCGCGATGCACCTTCCGAAGCTCCAAGATGTTCTCGTCCGATACCACTACTGGGGTATCTTGATCCAGTGACATGGGCGACTTTCTTGTGCCAAGATAGGCAACACACAAATCTCCCATATCGTTCAGATGGACAATAAGGTTTCTCGTATCCCTGCAACATGCTTGCGCAGTTAATCATCACAGCCAAGGAGAGGCACAAGGCCGCCATAAGTTGGCATATCGTTGAAGCACCCGGTTGTCATCGACTTGCGTCGGACAACCTACCAAAATGACCCAATCCTAATACTCGCTGGGATGGTGTCCATTCTTGCCATCCAGATGAGGCAAGTGCCGTGATAGATCATCAACAAGCCAGAGTGTGTGCCGATGGCCAAGTAGTGCTTTGGAATGCCTTGGTTGAATCATTGGTACAATCAGGAAAACATCAGCCAGTGCGGCGTTCTGTATGACCAAAATGGTGAATCCTACTCGATCATAAGGCCCGACACTTTGCCCTATCAGCGATCGCTTGATCCGAGACCTCATACCTTTCTCGTCTGGGGCGCCAAGGTAGCCTGCGCAGCATAAGGGCTTGTGCTGAATATCGACCTGACTGCGAAGATCCCCCGTGTCGGTGAAGATCTGTATCGCGCTATCGCCTGGCGTACAATCTGAGTCTGAGCACCGAGTGAATATCCGCACAAACACATATCGTACATACCCACAACCGCAATTTCCGCCTGATCGTCGATGCACAACTCTGTGCGAGTGATCAAGATGTCAACGACAGTGTCCATCACGATAAATGACCAGTCGGGCTGTTCAAAGCACAGCGAATCTCAGTCAGCCGGATATTATCTGACCAGATCCACCAAGTCTCCAAATATGACACGGACTCGGCTATGCTTGCGGCGGTGGAGACTGTGATGTGCCTAGACATCCCAAGAGAAATGGATACGCAGCTCACAGAACGCAGAGACAAGCATTGTTCGACTTTCAGGTTGTGGAAACGATACCTTGAGCCTCTTGGCGCTTGCCCAGGGAGTCGTGGGACGCTTATCGCCTGGTTGGATAGCTGGAACCTCATCTGCAATGGCTATGTGATGGTAGCTTGAGGCCGTGTGTCGAGACACCAACGGGCATGAGTGATTCGCGGTGTATATACAGGCATTGATCAACACAGGCTTGGACAGCAATCTTGGGCTCGTTTATGCGCAATTCATACCGGTAAGACTCCACCGCCATGGTCGACGAATACGTGACTATCGAGTCTGTTGTTGGGATGTAGCAAAGCGAGCCGGGCAGGATAAAGTCAGGCAGCTTGCGAACAAAGCCAACGCTACCACCATCGACAACCGTCCAGATGCCGTCGAGCGACTGGATACAGATGAGATCCTTGTCTGGCCAGCGATAGGCCCGTGTGAGGATAGTAGAACAACAGATCTATGCGTTAGATTTGCTGCTCATGTAGTCACTCGTCCGCTGTTTGGCGTCTGTTTAGTGGATTCCTCACTGCTCCTCGGTCTGCAGCTGCATACAGATATACCAGAGACTCGACCGAAGGGTCCATATACCATGTTGAACGACGGAGACGAGAGTGTGATTTCGTACTCGACCGCAAAGTGGCACCTGTCTGCGAGCGTTGGCATTTCCCCTTGGACACTCATCCCGGCTGTTGGGTCGGGGAGAACTGAAGCGTCGACGTGTTTCACAGGGTGGTGAATGGCTGTAATATGCAATGGGAAAATGCAAGCGGCGCAGTACACTCCACTCACGCGCGATCCTTGCAATCGACAGATGGTTGGGATGGAGAAGGGCAAGCGCCTTGGACTTGGAATTGCGTCTGTGACAAGTAGACCAATTGACTGAGTTGTGATGGCGGGCTCTTCCTGTGCTGTTTGTTCCGAGCCAACGAGTGTGGTAGAGCTATCCACTCACATGAAGAATCCGTAGTCTATTTGCAGAATCGGCTTTTGAAGATCCAGCTCAAGAAGCACGCCACCAGGCAGATTGCATCGGCCGGTGGGATCCGGTACTGCTACCCGGAGGATGCCATCCAGTCCACCGAAGGCGATGAGATCTACGATCGAGGGAGTCAGTCCAGCGTGACCCATCGATCTCTGTCATTGTCCGTCAAACGCGAGGCGGCTTTATATCTATCGCAGATATTAACCTACTTGGAAGCTCCCCGCGAGCGCCTGGGCCTCCGTCCTCGAGAACACACATGGAGGAGGCGTCGTAGAGCCTGCATCTGTTTGCACCGACTTTGCTTCTACTGGGAAGGTCCCACCAGCTCTTGAGCTGGAAAAGCGACATTGAGTCAGTCGCTCTCCGATGTGGCCGTTCTCGTTGTGCCAAGGCAGATGGCTTGTGTGTGTCCGTCTCTATGGAGATGGAGCGCAGATCCGCCGCGGCGGCATGGGAAAGCGCGGGCTTTGATTGAATGTTGCCCGTTGGATTCGAACCGGCACAGGTGGCAGTGCTCCCAGCGAGACCGAGGCGAGATCGAGACGAGACGAGGCCGAGACGAGGCCGAGAAGGGCTCGGCAGCACCTTTCCCCAAAGCCCAGGGTCAGCATCGTTGGAGCCAGCGTCGTCCGTTCGTCTTCATCAAATCCAACCGCCGCCCCCAGTTTCCAGCAGAACTGCACAGCCCAGCAGCCATGGCCAGCATCGTTAAAGCTGTGAGCGACTCGCCTTCTGCCTCGGGCATCATCATCACCCTGTAAGCCCCAGGAGCCCGTCGGCATCCTCTTGATTGTCGATGGCCCCATCTCGCACCCGATCCAGCATACCATCTCCATGCCGCTTGTTCTGATGCTGCACATCCCGAGAGCCCTCAATGGCCGAGGTGTGTCCTCCACCACCGTATATCAACGATATCTGCTGCTGACCGCCGATCGCTCGCCCCTGTCCAGCCATCCCCTGGTCATCATGAACATCTCGGATCACTACACCCGCATCACCGTCCAACGACAGACAGACATGCCCGATCAGTCTCCGAGCGTTCAGCTGGGTAAGCAGCAAGGCTCTCCTCTCTGCTTCCATCTCTATCTTTGGCAGCGATCGATCTGACACGATCCAACATATCCTGGCGGCCCTGCGCCTGACTTGTCGATGACCGATGGGACCCGGCGGAATCGATCGCCCCTGCAGTCATGGGCGCCCTTCTTGGCACTCAAAATGGCCGAGAAATCGAGATCTTCAACTCGTTCGAGATTCCGTGCAGTGCCGTCGATGGCTCGTACGTGATGAACAAGGCTTACTTTATTTCGAAGCGAGACCAGTGTAAGTTCCTGAGGGATCCCTCCGCCATCGTAGGCATGATTCGGACACTGCAAAGGCCAACCACACCATGTCTGCGTCCTCGAGGGAGGCGCTATCATGTGCAAGCCCAGAACGAATGCCTGTGCAACTGAATGCAACCGGATACATCCCAATGCAGCTCAGTAGTGCTCCGCATGGGACTGGATTGGATGAGAATCAGCAACTGATGCTTGGTCTCATCAACTCCCCAGTCAACCAGGTGTTTCCAACCTATGATGTCCTTGGATGGTACTCCACGGGACTGGCTCCAACATCCACCGAATTGAACCTGCACCAGCAAGTATGGTCCCATATGATCCGAATGCTCAGCGCCAATAGCTGGAGGACATTATTCATGAGCTACTCGCCCACCTCTCAGTGCTCACAAGTGCAGAGCTGTGCCGGAGGAGAGGCTGCTACTGACGCACATACCCATCCAACGCTGTAGATGTCCGAATTGAACGAAGGGCTGCTTTACTTGCAGCTGAACCCAACCGCCATCGTGACCTCCAAAGAGCTGCCGATCAATGTGTACGAGTCAGTCATTGACCTTGTTAATGGACAGGCTCAAACGTTTTTCACTAAATCCGACTACAAGGTCGAGACTGCCGATGCCGAGCGCATTGCTGTCGATCACGTTGCCCATGCTTCGAACAGTGGTCAGGGCAGCACAAGTAAGTGTCGCGAGCGAGCAAAAGATATCGCAATGGCACGCTGCATGCGAGTATTGAAAACCAGGGATCACTAACCGCCCTGGATATTGTGCGCTTCCAACAGCCATCAATCAACTCACCTCGCAAAGAAACGCCGTGCAAATGTTGCACACACGCATCAAGTTGCTGAAGCAGTATGTCACGGATGTCAAGAGTGGTATGTTTCTGTGAACTGCTGCTCGAACTTGTGCCAAGCATGCTGACAACTTGAGTCCCGCTCCGTATCGCTTATGTCCTCACATTCGTGTCCTGATCTGTGGCGGGGCTGTTAGGTGTCATTCCTGTGGACCATGTAGTTCTTCGACAGATCTCGAGTTTGGTTAGGCGCTTGCCTGTGATCGAAACACCAGAGTTCCAAGAGGAGCTCATGATCGAGTACAGCGACTCCCTTCTCATCTCGTACATCGCAACTCTGACAAAGGGAGCCAATATCCTGAATGATGTGAGTTACCCGTTCTGAGCCGGCTGCTGTCCCGGAGATGGAGCGCAGCGCAAATCCCATGCATGTGACGGCACTAGTGCGATTCTGTCGGCGAGTCCACCATCCCACAGGCTGCTCACCCAGGTCGTCTGTCCAGACAATCGATGCTTTTAACTTTGCCGGATTCAACGGCAATCGCCGGAGCGTCAAGGGCCGTCGAGGATCAGCGGGTATGGGTACCGGCCATTTTGCCTGAGTCGGTCGAAGCCGGCCTGTGCAGTCAGCAGCGTACCCAAAACGAAACGGGCCACCCTGTTTTGAGCCAGGGCTGTCGCTTGTTTCTGGGTCCTGAATACATCCACCCATTGCTGCGTCGAGATGCTGCAGTCCCAGCCGCCGAGGCGATCAACTTGGTTGTATATGGCTTTGCTCGACGCAGGCCATCTCATACGCCATGTTCATCCAAAATTGGGCAGTGTCCCATTTGTACATGGGTGAAGTGAAAGGAGCGTATCTCAACTCCCTAAAACTCACTCGGAGCGATGGTCTCGATGAGACATGGATGCAGAGCAAGCAGTCGACCCAAGAGGAACCGAACCGCCGCCCTCGCCCGGCCAACGAGGACGACGAGAGCGCAGAAGCTGTTTGTCCATTTTTGGACAAACCATCTCGGCTGCGTTGCCCGCTCTCTTCCTCCATCTTGGCGCTGAACCTTCAGGACAAGCCCAGGCTTTGCATCGACGGCGACTCAACGACGTGAGCCCCATCGAGAGTCGCTCGACTACCATCACATCCGTCATTAGCACACAGTGGGCATAGGCCAGCAATTGCCCCGTCCCGCTATTGGCCACACGCTTCACGGCATTCGCCGGCCGTCCCGACTCGCACCGCTTGTGCCTTGGCCGCAAACCGAGACGGTCTGCTTGCTGCAGCCGACACCGCCGACATGATAGCCGATCGCCCGGCTCCGGATCGTTTCAGGCTGTCGTTTGACCGAGAGGTGTTTCATATCCAGCTGAGCGAAGCCGAGATCTGGTCGGCGTGCATTAACCAAACCGACGACGACCAATGTCTGGACTACAACCCGTCGCTTGCCGCTCATGCAGACGGCCCTCGAATCGCACCCTCGCCCCAACGGTCTGTGATGAACAAGATCGGTTTTGAGCCACGCCGATCTCCTGAGCCGCGAGATCTGGCCAACCCAAGTCCTGCCCATACGCCGCACCGGCGCTGCGAAACGAGAGCAGCAGACAGCCCCAGCGAGCAGCCGGCTCTTGAGACCATCACTCGCCTCCAGTCCATGATACGGACCAGCAGACCCAGGGCTGATTTCTTGGCGAAGCGAAGAGCTGCGGCCGTAATACAAGCTGCCTGGAGGAAACGCATGCATTCTCATCGATCGTCCGTGGCACCCGATCATCCATTCGATGCTACTGTTGATCCGACAATATCACCACCAAACGATCATCACGAACCCAACAAAGCGCATACCCACAACGCACAGGCGATGCAACCCGACATGGCTGCCGTCAGCATATTCGATGCTGATGGGAACGATAGCGAGCCCGGCTCGGGCCCTGAGGCTCCGTTGCCGCCATGCCCTGATTTGTTTCTGAAGAGGGCGCAATCCGACCCGTCCGAGGCAGTCGTCGATCTCACTGAAGAACAGCTGGTACGAACCGGTGCAGGGGCTGTGTGGCGGTAGTGCCTAACTCATAGACTCGGTGAATGCAGTATTATGCTCTGCTGAACTTACCCGGATCTCCCTTTGCTTGCAGCCAGCTGACAGCGAAGCCTCCGTTGACGAGAAGGCAAAACTCCTGGCCGAGCTGGAGGCCCTGAGAGAGAAGCGGCGGATGCTTCTCAGCATGAAGCACACCCAAGCTACACCAAGCCTTGACGATGGCATCTCCGCTGTATCCGCCGAGAGTGCTACCGACACCTCAGCCGCCATCCCCAAGGCGCCGCTTCTGGCCAGTGACGACTGTTTGAGCCCGCCTATGTTGTCATTCAGTGAAGCAAGCCGACCTGCGACTGCTGGCCACCCCGAAACAATCGCAAGCGAACCAGCGACGATGATCCCAGCGCCTCTATCATCCATGCCAGTCTCGACGATGGCGACTCCGAATCAAAGCCGGCTCCTGCCGAATCAGTATCCACCGATGCCAGATCCGGATGATATCCTGTCGCTGCCTCCAAAGGCACTGCAGATGCTGACAACGATGAACACTGAAATCAACGGGCGGCGAATGTGCGAGCATGTGCTCGTTATCACTCCGATGGTCGGGGCGCCGCCGCCAAGTCCGACATCCACCATGATCGAGCGAATACAGGAGCGAAGGCGGCACGGTACGCCATGGACCCCGAAACCGATTAAGGATGATCTCAGCGATAGCGAAGGCAGTCAACTAGCCGCAACCGAATCTCCGGCCAAGCCGGAGTCGCTGAAGCGAGCGTTCGTGGAAACTGCCATGGCCGGTGATCCTGAAGCAGAAACGGCGGGGTTGGATCATGGAGCTCGAAAGACAAAGCGTATCCGGTGGAACCCAGACTTTTCGATATGCTATTTCAACGAGAAAGAAGCAACCCAAAGCGTTACTCTGGATATGCTCGACGGCGATTCTTCACACACCCACGTCAGCGCCGATTCAAAATCGCTGATTGGGGGTGTTCCGCCGTCGCGAGGCACAGCCACCAGCCACAGACGCAAGTCAGCTTTAAGGCTTGCAGAACACGACCTCAAGTCACCCTGGACATCAGAGGCTTTTGCTGAGACTGTGGTCGAGTACTCGCGATATGTCTACGTTGCACCCACAACCGCATCAAATCCCGCGGCGGGCCGATCAAGCAAAAAGTCCAGGCCTCCTGCTGTGGCGGTGTCGCGAGCGCCGGCAAAAGGAAAGGTGGGATCTGGCATGAAGGGGACAACCGGAAAGCCTGCGAACGAAGGCGGTGGTGCGCTTGCGGGAGGGGCGAGGCGGTCTGCTGCAAAGAAAATGTGAGTCGCTGCTGGATCTGAGGTGACGAGTTGAGATGAAGCCCATCGGTGGATCTGGCCATTGCTGGCACTCTGGCAATACAGTCATGCTACAATCTTCACGAACCAAAGCAGAAATAACCTGCTACTGTGGCCGATGGACACCTCTGGCACTAGGAATGCGGAGAGCTCGCCCAGGCGGGCATTTGATCCGCCACCGAATCGATCAGACGCAACCACAGGCTCGGACTGTGCGATGCCAGACGGCACATGATGCGCGACGATAACAAAGGACAGCAGCACTCTTGGCCCTGGAGCGCCATCCACTCGTTCTGATCATGTTGGGATGAACACTGATTGCGCAGTGGTGCGATCGACACAATGCCAGAGGATACATATGAGCAGGCGCCAGCCAAGGAGCCACCGATATCGGCACATTTGCCCCTTGGAGTCACCCTTCAAAGTCACCCCTCCCACCGCTCGCCTTCGCTTTCCTGCTCCCTATTCTTGCCCGCACCCGTCCGTGCACGATGCGCAAATGTTGATTCTACATAACACGTTTGTGGCCACTAAGCTGGTACGCCTCGTTCCCGATACACCGGAGCGCAGCAATGCCAGGGACAGCAATCGTGGACTGACCAAACAATGGGAATTTATAGAAAGGAACGACCAAACAAATTCAGCAGAGCGACAAGGAAAGGGTTGGGCTTGAGATACAATCAAGATACAATCAAGCCTCAATCAAGATACAATCAAGCCTCAATCAAGATGCAATCAAGCCTCAATCAAGATACAATCAAGCCTTAATCAAACCTCAATCAAGATACAATCAAGATGCAATCAAGCCTCAATCAAGATACAATCAAGCTATGTTGTGCTTAGTTCGGCAGACTCAGCAGCCATTCAATCGCACAAGATATTGCTCTAGATGTGGGATGCCACAGGAAGTGTTGCAGTCGGATTTGTGTTGCCGAGACGGGTTCTCTGGAGCAACCGAAAGTCTCTATGTGGATCCAGGAGCAGAACTATCAGCGATAGCAACAACGTAGTACTTGGGAACCAAGCCAGAGCGTCCCGTGTTTTGGTTGTAGCCCTGGGAATTGCACATCGTTAAGTTGGGGCCGAGCAAGAGACAGAGAGTGAGATACAGGCGCTAGACATGGGTCGCTAGTCCCGAGTTGCTGGTCATTTCAAAACATGCCACGAACGACGGCCCCCAGTAATGACAAATTACAACCCAATCAACAATCGCACGACCAGTAGCTGCACCAGCGATGTCATTAAATGACAGGATCATGCGCACGAGCATGCTGGTCCGGGATCAGCTTACCTGAGCCACGCCATTGATGAACGGACCCTGAATCAAGATAATGTCGCCGAGGCGAAGATCGATGTGCTGTGAGTCCTTGGGACTGTATCCCGCAATGACAATATGCTTGGCTACGGCAGGGGGATTAGTTTGTGGCAGCCCTTGCGCTTCGGCTGTCGCAGCAGATTCGGAGTAGTTCGAGTTTCGGAAGCTTGGAGCCTGTGCGGCGTATCCCATGGATGGAGCAAGATAGCTTGCTTGCGGGCTGGTGGCCGCGCTGTGGTCGCTGGAAGCATAGGGAGGTGCAGCATATCCCTGAGTGGGGGAAGGTGCATAGCCAGAAACAAACGAGGCGCGATAATCCTGGGTGTAGGCATTCGGGTACTGGCCATAGCCGGCCCCTGGGTAAGCAGGTTGGCCATAGTTGGGCTGACCGGAGCCTTGGATAGGATAATGGGATGTAAAGTTGGCAGCAGGACTGGTCGCAGCTGCTGGAGGAAGAGCAGGGGCACTGGTGGCGACGGGCGCTGGGTTGTTGACTGGGACAACAAGAGCTGGGGGATTCTGGGGTTGGGGATTCTTGGAACGACGACTCCAAAGATATCCGGCAATGATACCGGCCACAACTGCAAGTGGCGACAAAGAGTTGTCAACGAATGATGAAGATGTTGAGCGACAATACCTAGGATCAACACTGCATGATACCTCACGCCACCCAAGCAATAGCATTTCCTGATCAAAGGCTCTCTTCCAGTGGCCGATTTCTCGCCGAGCAAGTGAGCAATGTCCGAGTTGCTGTCGAGACAAACATACCAACGACACCGGCAACAGCCCCGCCGATCAGGCCGATGTTGGAGTTGCTGGAGGCAGCCAAGGGGGTGGGTGACGGGCTCGGAGGAGTTGGAGTGGGAGTGGGCTTTGTCTGGTTCGGGAACGTGGACGGCAGCACGACATTGGGATCGTTCAAAATAGAACCAGAATAATACGTCGTGAAGAACGATTCAGAGTCTCCGCTATCGATGCCGCACGCTGTACTGAGCGAATCGCTGGATACCAATTGGCAAGTGTTGCATCCAGCATCGCCACAGGCGTAATATTCAATGTTCCTCGAGTTTGGATTGAAAATGGTATAGCCATAGATGCCAGTGATGATCATGGTACATGTCGGATATACGGGTGTTCGGTTCGCTGCGTAGACTTTCGAGCAAGTATTGTCGTTGGTCGAAAATGTATAGTATGAAAAGTAGTTGGTCTTGAAACCTGGATTCCAGTTGCTGTGCAGCGAGCGGATGATCGAATCCCATCAGCATTCAGAAAACAGGATAGTAGCTAACGTGACTGCTGAAATGTCCTAATCGAAAAGATTGGAGAGTGGAAGGCAGACGATATGAAGATACGAACCTTGTACTGGTGTAGTCGGCGGTGCCGTAGAGTCCTGTTGCATCGCCGTTTGGACATGGATTGATGGAAGTGGTTGTGACAGAGGAAGTGTAAACACAGTTTTTGGTACAGGTTGTGTCTTGGCCGCAGCGATAGGTGATGATGGAGTTGTTGGACTGGAGGATGGTGGAGTATTGACAATAACCTCCGCTCGAAGAGGTAAAACAAGCACATCGATTCAAACCAAAGACAATATCACCGAATGTAGTTTCGGTGGAAACGGGAGATGTGGAAGTGGTTGCGCATTGGGGGGCCATTCGGTTTGTTCCTTGGTCAACAATCCAAAGGAGATTGGACGGGTTGATGGGGACGGGGCTGGACATGTCTGCGTCAAAGTCTGTGGCAGGAAGCCCACGGCCGAGATTGCTTTCGAGGGGAGATGAGGGAAGCAGCCGCGAAGCCGCCGGGTTCGACAGAAAGCGGAGGCGAAGGCACCCGCGGGGAAGCAGGGGCGATGGGGGGAAATGGCCGGATGGAAGAGCAAGATTTGGCGAGATGGCTTTGGATCAGTGCTGAAATGCAAACGGAAGCATCTTCGCAACCGACGGCAGCGCAGCCACTGCTCATGTGACCAAACGGTATCTCCACAATCTTGAGCCCGTGTTCTCGCTGGGTGGCACCCCTTGAGGTTTCATGTTGGTGCGACGCCGAGCATAACACGCCGCACCCGCTTTACCGATTTTGCGAGAGCCTGAAAACTTTGCAAAGAGAAAGGGCCAACCACGATTCCCATTTCGAGCGAATGGCGATGAGTCGTTCGCGCTTGTGCTCGCGTCCCTCATCGAGGCCGCTGGGTTCCTTCACCGGACACAAATGCCGCATCCGTCTGAAACGTGCGGGCACACATAGCACACGGTGACACACACGTCCATATATGTTTTGCTTGCGCGTCCCTGCAAGGGCGGCCTGTTCCTTTCCCGCGTCAACGAATCAATCAGCTGTCGATGTCCGTTGCAACAAGGCGAGCACCAATGCAACATGGCAATCGATAACGCACCATTGACGCGTAAGTGACGGCTTTGTGCGCACATGTGGCCATGTGATCCGGGAACAACCCGGGCTAAGCCACACCTCTCGGCCTGAAAACGAAGCGTTCGGCCGACATTTACTCGCTTCGTCCCTCCCATCGCCTGCCGTTGCTTCGACCTCTCGAGCTGCACCGGCCCTCACATATTCTCCATCACAATCCCAGTCGCTGACCTTTGTGCGGCTGCATTCCTGATCATCTTTGCTGCAAGCATGTCCTCAGCCCCGATTCCCATTGATCCAACAAGTGTGCAATGGATGATCTTTCAGGGATCCAACGATGAGCTGCCAAAGTGTCTCACCAGCTGGTCGAGCCCTGCGAGTGCCGTAAATGTTTTCTACGATGCCATCATCGCAACCAATCGATGCGATTGCTTTGTAGCAACTTCAACCGCACCTAGTGTCTGCGAATACAGAACCATCCTCCAATCCAACAACTCTATCATCACCTACACTTGCGGCCAAGACACAACCTGTACCAAAAACTGTGTTTACGCTTCCTCTGTATCGACCACTTCCATCAATCCATGCGCAAATGGATTTACTGGCCAATACAGCACCGCCGACTACACCAGCACCAGGTAGGGGATGACACGCATTATCTGACCCATCCCTTCGCATGAATACTCTCTGGATATGATTGCTGCGCATCTTTGGAGTGCTACAACTTGCGTGACTCAGGCTTTGCCCTCTATAGCAATTGGGACTCAAGTTTCAAGACCAACTACTTCGGGTATTACATTTTTTCAGTCAATGACAATACCTGCTCGAAAGTGGTTTCCGCCAACCGTGTGCCTGTGTATCCGACATGCACCCTGATTGTCACCGGTGTCTATGGCTATACCATTTTCAATCCAAACTCGGGCAACATTGAAGGTTATGGCTGTGGTGATGCTGGATGCAACACCTGTAATATTGCATATGCCAACCCACGCAGTTCAACGTGTACCATCGACAGTGGCGACTCGAGTACAGGATTTACGATATATCGCAACGGTTTTATTTTGAACGATCCCAATGTCGTGCTGCCGTCCACGTTCCCGAACCAGACAAAGCCCACTCCCACTCCAACTCCTCCGAGCCCGTCACCCACCCCCTTGGCTGCCTCCAGCAACTCCAACATCGGCCTGATCGGCGGGGCTGTTGCCGGTGTCGTTGGTATGTTTGTCTCGACAGCAACTCGGACATTGCTCACTTGCTCGGCGAGAAATCGGCCACTGGAAGAGAGCCTTTGATCAGGAAATGCTATTGCTTGGGTGGCGTGAGGTATCATGCAGTGTTGATCCTAGGTATTGTCGCTCAACATCTTCATCATTCGTTGACAACTCTTTGTCGCCACTTGCAGTTGTGGCCGGTATCATTGCCGGATATCTTTGGAGTCGTCGTTCCAAGAATCCCCAACCCCAGAATCCCCCAGCTCTTGTTGTCCCAGTCAACAACCCAGCGCCCGTCGCCACCAGTGCCCCTGCTCTTCCTCCAGCAGCTGCGACCAGTCCTGCTGCCAACTTTACATCCCATTATCCTATCCAAGGCTCCGGTCAGCCCAACTATGGCCAACCTGCTTACCCAGGGGCCGGCTATGGCCAGTACCCGAATGCCTACACCCAGGATTATCGCGCCTCGTTTGTTTCTGGCTATGCACCTTCCCCCACTCAGGGATATGCTGCACCTCCCTATGCTTCCAGCGACCACAGCGCGGCCACCAGCCCGCAAGCAAGCTATCTTGCTCCATCCATGGGATACGCCGCACAGGCTCCAAGCTTCCGAAACTCGAACTACTCCGAATCTGCTGCGACAGCCGAAGCGCAAGGGCTGCCACAAACTAATCCCCCTGCCGTAGCCAAGCATATTGTCATTGCGGGATACAGTCCCAAGGACTCACAGCACATCGATCTTCGCCTCGGCGACATTATCTTGATTCAGGGTCCGTTCATCAATGGCGTGGCTCAGGTAAGCTGATCCCGGACCAGCATGCTCGTGCGCATGATCCTGTCATTTAATGACATCGCTGGTGCAGCTACTGGTCGTGCGATTGTTGATTGGGTTGTAATTTGTCATTACTGGGGGCCGTCGTTCGTGGCATGTTTTGAAATGACCAGCAACTCGGGACTAGCGACCCATGTCTAGCGCCTGTATCTCACTCTCTGTCTCTTGCTCGGCCCCAACTTAACGATGTGCAATTCCCAGGGCTACAACCAAAACACGGGACGCTCTGGCTTGGTTCCCAAGTACTACGTTGTTGCTATCGCTGATAGTTCTGCTCCTGGATCCACATAGAGACTTTCGGTTGCTCCAGAGAACCCGTCTCGGCAACACAAATCCGACTGCAACACTTCCTGTGGCATCCCACATCTAGAGCAATATCTTGTGCGATTGAATGGCTGCTGAGTCTGCCGAACTAAGCACAACATAGCTTGATTGTATCTTGATTGAGGCTTGATTGCATCTTGATTGTATCTTGATTGAGGTTTGATTAAGGCTTGATTGTATCTTGATTGAGGCTTGATTGCATCTTGATTGAGGCTTGATTGTATCTTGATTGAGGCTTGATTGTATCTTGATTGTATCTCAAGCCCAACCCTTTCCTTGTCGCTCTGCTGAATTTGTTTGGTCGTTCCTTTCTATAAATTCCCATTGTTTGGTCAGTCCACGATTGCTGTCCCTGGCATTGCTGCGCTCCGGTGTATGAGTGTCTGCAGACTATTCAGCACACCATTCATCGCTGAGGCTTGATGCTCGCTCTGCAACAGACGCTCGTCTTCAATCGCTCCTGCGGTGACGGTATCTCCAAGCTCAATGCTCGCTAAGCTCTCGTATTATACTCCATCATCATCTGGACTTCCAAAGTTGCAGAGCCAAAATGGCATGTTGCACGTGGCGATGAATGTGGCACGGGCTGCCGCAGCGGTGCCATTGTGCTGCGGCAGGGGTCGAATATCAGCATCATCTCGATCTCGGCTCGCTCAGCGATCGATCGACTTGATCCATCCGACGGGCCTTCGGTCTCTCAGCTTGACTTGTCTGGCAAGGTTCCGCCTGGTGTGTGGTTGCCCAGGCCGAGAGACTGCGAGCCAGGGGTCGTAGTGCTGAGCACTTTGATATGCCGATCTGCGGGCAGACTTGCCGGCATCTGACCTGCTGGCACTCACACCTGCCGACTCGCAGATCGTCACAGCCGCTGCTGCCGCATTATTTGATCCGTCTGTCGATTCCTCTATCGATCCATCCGTCGATCCAGCCAACCCATGTCCGTGTTCATCGGCACTGAAACCGCCATTGCCGGCGCTGGTCTGCTTGCACTGGCTCTGGCCAGCCTCCGCCTGAGCCCGGCCCGGCCCTCGTCCTCGTCGTCCTGGTACTTTCCTGTCTCCCAGAGCGAAGACGATGCTCCGCACAGTCCCTGGAGCCACGACAGCTCCCCCGAGCTCGATCAGTACAACCTCGAGTTTTATGAGCGTACCAGGCGCTGGCGCATCCTCGACGGCGTCCTGGTGCTTCTGTCGCTGCTCTTCGGCGGCATTGCCGTCCACGGCCTGTATCTGGACTTGCTCAGGTCCGGCCGCGTCGATCTCTCGCTTCTGCCCGATGCCGTCTGGGTCATTGTCTCGGTACGGCTCGTGCTTTGTCCATCGTCAGAGCATCGCACTGCTCGTCCTGATCGCAAGAGAGCAGCGATGCCGCTCTGTTCGCATCCGGGGTGCTGTGCTGTGCTGCCCCGAGACTGCACTATCACCAAACTGATCCCTGCATCCCGCACTTTCCTGGCTGTACTCGCATTGTTCACATCATCCGCTGCATCACCCCTCTATCGGTGGCGGCGACACTGCCTGCTGATGCTTCCGCTGACAACTGCCTCCGATGCCACCTTCCACAGCTGGCCTTGGTCTACTACAACGGCTTGCTGGCAACCTGGCCTCGCGAGATTGCCGATGCCGTCGAAAACGACGCCCCGATCTACTACCGTTTCCAGACGGTATACTTTGTGCTGGTGGTCGATGGCATTGCGGCCCTCGTCTCTCCCGACCAGAGGTCCGAGCCATCTGGAGCAGGCACTTTTGATGCTCTGAAGGTCGCTGGACTGGCCATCGCCCTCCTGCTCTTCTTTGCCGAGCCCGTGCGCCAGCTGTTTCGACCCATCCGCACGCAGTTCTCCAAGCGAGTGGTGAGTAGCCACTCCCACTGCATGTGCTGGTCCGATGCAGCGCCAGTGCGCATATCGTGAGCTCGAACATCTCGGAGCGATGCGGCCGATCGCTGTTACGCCCTTGGAGACCGTGCAGATTCCCAATTCATGCGAACGGTGTCCATGTCCTCTGTCGACTGAATCGCTGTCCTCTGATACTGCTGTCTGCGTATCGCCGCATGGTCCACTTGCCCAACCATTGCAGCCGTCGAAGGAGCGCTCGGCCTCGCTCTTTGCTCTCCTTACTTTCAGCTGGCTCGGCGACCTGATCTACCTGGGCAACCAGCGCCAGCTTGCACCGGGCGACGTGTGGGATCTGGATCCGTCCGAGAAGACCGAGACGGTTTACAAGATTTATGAGAGAGTCAAGTGAGTGGATACGTGGACTGCGACGCACTGGATCGTCCGCAATAGCGCTGCATCGGCTCGCTCGAGCGGCCATGAAGGATCATGACGGTCATTGGAAACGACTTCCCACCGCATTGCCGACGGGACTGGCATCAGTTTGCGCCTTCGACCCTGACTCCTCTCTGCTGTCCTGCATTTCACAAGGCCAAAGTACAGGACCTTGTGGATCCGCTTGTTCATGAGCACCTGGAAAACGATCGTGATGAACGTAGTATGGAACGTTGTCGCCACTATACTATCCCTCGCTGGTCCCCTCTTTCTCAACGCCATCCTCAACTGGATGCAGTGTCCCCATGCCAACTCGTACACCGCTTGGGGCTATCTCCTGGGCTTGTTCTCTTGTTCGATCATTCAAGCCATGCTCAACGGACAAATGTACTTCAACGGACGACGAACCGGCACCCGTTTGCGAGCCATCCTGATCCGCGAGATCTACGAAAAGTCGCTGCGCCGTCCAGCAACCGTCGGCCAGTCCTCGCAGGGCACCGGCGATGGCAAGAGCGAGCCAGGCCAGCAAGACGCATCGCTCGGCAAGATCGTGACGCTCATGAGCTCCGACACCGAAACCATCCGAAACATGGTTTGCTACATTCACGTGCTCCTCGAGACCCCCTTGCGGCTCCTCTTGTCGATCGGACTGATGGTCTATTTTATCGGGTACTCTGCCCTTGTCGGCCTCGCCGCCATCCTGATATGTGTCCCAATCACCTCGTGGCTGGGAAGCTGCATCAACCGCCAGCAGCGCCGTGCGATGGAGAAAACCGACAAACGAGTCACCGCCACGAACGAAGCGCTCCAGGGGATCCGCATCATCAAGTATTTTGCGTGGGAGCCGCACTTTATCAAGCAGATCAACGTCGACCGGACCGAAGAGCTCCAATGCAGGCTTCACGTGCGGCTCTTGCACATGGCCTTCAGCACCATCTCTGAGAGCGGCGGCCTCTTTTGCGCCTTTGGAAGCTTCGTGACCTTTGTGTTGACCGGGAATGTCCTCGACGCCGCCACGGCTTTTACGACCCTCAGCATCTGTCAGCAGGTGACTTGGGCCCTGTCCCGACTTCCGAACGAGGTTATGTGGATTTTGCGCGCAATGGTCTCGCTCGAGCGCATCGAAAAGTTCCTCGGCGAGGAGGAGCTCCAGAAGTTTGCCGAGAAGGACATCCCCAGCCGCTCCGAGATGGACCACCGCTTCAAACCTAACGGATTCGACCAAGCCACATACATCTACTACGGCAGCGGCGACTCGAGCGTCCGTTCGTCCAAGGCATCGCTGCAGCTATCCTCTAGCATCGTCCAGCTCGAGAACCCGGGACAGGAAGAGTCCTCGGCCTTTACCTTGAACAATCTGAACCTCGACATTCCGCTGGGCAAGCTCACGGTTGTTTGCGGCCCGACCGGAGCTGGCAAGAGCTCGCTCATCCTGGCGCTCGTTGGAGGTGAGTGTCGTTGCTGCGAGAGGTGTCTGGGACATTGGCAGCACGGACAAACACCACGGCCTGATCGCCAGCACTGACCTGGCACACATTGATGCGGCTGCCGAACTGCCTGCAATCGCGATCGCTAACTCGAACACCAACTCACCACCCGATGCTGAAACGACATCCCAACCACGGTACGCCCTCTGCATGATGACATCTCGACGGCGTGGACTACAATCGGTATCCCACCACGGATACACTTGCGCATCACTCACACAATCAGAAATGCGCCGTATCGGCGGCCACTGCTACTTCCCGTCGCGACCCAACCGCTCCTCTGGATCCATCGTTGCGGGCGAGGTCGCCTATGTGGCCCAGACCGCCTGGCTCATGAACGCCACCATCCGAGACAACATCCTCTTTGGCGAAGACTATGACGAAGACCGCTACCACCGGGTTGTGTTTGCCTCGGCCCTCGTCCGCGACTTCCAGAACCTCGAAGGCGGAGATCTCACCGAGATTGGCGAGAAGGGTGTCAATCTGTCGGGAGGGCAGAAGCAGCGCATCTCTCTGGCCCGTGCGCTCTACTCGCGTGCTCCCTTCGTCCTGCTGGATGACCCGCTTTCGGCAGTTGATGCACCCACCGCCCGCCACCTTCTGCACCACGGGATCCTCGGCTTCCTCAAGAATCGCACCTGTGTTTTGGTCCCACCCGCCGTCGGCCTGGTTGCCCCACATGCCAACCACATTGTGGTCATGCGCAACGGAGCCATCGCCTGCCAGGGCACCGCGGCCGAGGTGCTCCGGAGCCCCGAGTCCGAAGGCATCCTCGACGATCAGATTCTGGCTGTCCGGCCAAGCGAGGTCGAGAACGCCACATCCTTGCAGGTGCCCAACCACGAAGAAATCAAGAAGTTGCTCAGCGAGGCGAGAGGCAAGACGCTGGTGCATGAAGAGGCCCGTGTCAAGGGTGCCGTCGAATGGGCCGTCTATTCGCGCTTCCTCAAGGCCTGTGGAGGCATTTTCTTTGCCTTCTGCTTCGTATTCTTGTTTGTGATCATGATGTCGGCTGGATTTGCAAACAGCTGGTGGCTCAAGAAATGGACAGATGCCAGCTCGGGCAACGGCAACTCGACTATTTGCCCTGTGGCCAACGCTTCACTCATCGCAGCTGGAGGTCCACTGGCGCAGCATTCGACATTCCCTTCCTTCCGTATCGTCGCCCCGCCAATGTTGGATACAGACTATGCACTGCCAACAACCCTTTGGAACTATCTCGGCACGGTCTTACCCTCACCATCGGCAACCACAGGAGCCGTTGGTTTGTCAGCAGCGGACAGCCACTCACCATACTACTACGTTACTGTGTATGCGCTCATCGGGCTCTCAGTCATCCTGTCGACAAACCTCCATACATTGGTGCAAGTCATGGGCTCGTACTCGGCCTCCAAGGCTCTGCACGCACAGCTCCTCAAGGCTGTGCTCGGCGCACCGCTTCGCTTCTTTGAGATTACTCCGCTGGGTCGCATCTTGAACCGATTCTCGAAGGACATGGGTCACGTCGATGAGTGAGTATCCACAACGGCCATTGTTTGATCGGGCTGCGCTCACGACTTGAGGATACTAACCCATGCGTATTGTGTTCTGTCTCGACACTGCTACTCAGCGAAGTGATGTGGTCGGTTGGGTTCTTCTCGACATGGCTGTTCCGCGGTGCCTCAGTGCTGATCATTGTGGCCTACATCACGCCTCCGTTCATACTGCTGATCGTGCCGGTTGGTAAGCAATGACATTGGCATTAGCAGTGCGAGGCTGTGGCTGCGGAGCGGGATGGCCGGGATTCAGGCGGACGAGCTGGGAAGCAATAGGCCCATGTTGGTGTGTGCACCTGACTCTCGCCAACATTTACACAGTGACTCTAACGCATTGATGTTTGGCGATCCGCCCGTGCCGGAATCTCTCGCTCCGGTGTACCCGATAGCACTGATCTATATGTATGTCGCCAAGCTGTACCTGACCTGCTCCCGCGAGCTCAAGCGCCTCGAGAGCGTTTCGCGCAGCCCCATATACTCTCAGTTCTCGGAGACGATTGCGTGAGTATCGCTGGTTGCCTGCTGGAACACTGTCGATGGCTTTGGAGGCGGCTGGACCCAGTGTTCTTGATGACAACGGCAGCCGTCTCGCTTTGATGACACCCATCAGCGCAGCAGTGCTGATACTCACATGCCATCGCTCCACACGACAGCGGAACATCCACCATCCGCGCTTACGGAGCCGAGTCTCGGCTCCTTCTCGAGAGCTCCGAGCGGTAAGACGCATGATCTGCATACCGGCATACAGTTTGCTGGGCAGCCCGGTATCGCATATTCTAAACATCCAATCCCCCTCCGCCAGCGTCGACGAGAATCATCGCTCCTTCTTCTACATGTGGGCAGCCAACCGCTGGCTCTGCATGCGAACGGATATCATAGCAGCCCTGGTCGTGTTCTGCGCTGGCGCTGCCGTCGTCAGCGGCCAAGTCAGTGCCGGATGGGCTGGCGTCAGTCTGACATATGCCATGTCACTCACCAGCAGCCTTCTTTGGATGATATGGGGGCATGCGGATATGGTTATGAACCTGACCAGTGTCGAGCGAATCGACGAGTACGTGAACATTCAGCCCGAGGCAGATGAGTCTGCAGTGACTGTCAAGGCTCCTGTCGGGGTAAGTACGGCTGGGGTGTGGAGTGGGGGTGGCGCAGGGCCGCATGAAACTCGACGATCAAGCGTCTGCTTGTGCAGAGAGCAGGTTGACCTCCAGGACTGGTACTGAGCCGCGTGTCCATGCTCCACCTCGACGCTGCAGTGGCCATCGGCCGGCCGGATCGATGTCAGCCACCTGTTCATGCGATATGCCGCCGACCAGCCCAACGTCCTGAAGGACATGTCGTTCTCAGTCAAGGCCGGCGAGCGCATTGGTGTCGTTGGCCGCACCGGCGCCGGGAAGTCGACACTCTCGCTCGCCTTCTTCCGCATCCTGCCCATCCACCAGGGCCGCATCATCATCGACGACATCGACATCAGCCAGATCAGCCTGCATGACCTGCGCTCAAACATCACAATAATACCGCAGGACCCCGTGCTGTTTTCGGGCACGATCCGGTCGAACTTGGACGCTCTCGGCGAGCACGACGACGCCGATCTGTGGCAAGTGCTCAAGCGAGTGCATTTCCTGGATACGCTGCAAGAGTTCAAGAAAAGGTCCCCGCGCACGTCGTTCGGGACTGTCGTCGTCGAGGACGCCATGGACACCATCTCGCCCATGGGTGGATCGGCAGTCCTGTCCCAGGAGAGCGAGACCAAGTCGTTCACCCTTGAGTCGCCCGTCGGCGAAAACGGCCAGAACTACTCGCACGGCCAGAGGCAGCTGCTGTGTCTGGCACGGGCACTGCTCAGAAACTCAAAGATCATCTTCCTGGACGAGGCCACTGCCAGCGTCGACAACGATACGGACGCTCGCATCCAAGTCACGATCCGAGAGGAGCTCGCCGGAGCAACGGTCCTCTGCATCGCCCACCGGCTGAGGTGAGCGTGTGCTGCTGGTTGTGTTGGGTGGATGGATGAGCCTCCGGGGCTCGTATCAGTGCCGCAGTTTGCTCCTCCCCCGAGATGCACTGACACTGGAATTGTTTGCATGTGTGTGCTCGGTGCCAAAAGAACGATCGTCGATTACGACCGGGTTATGGTCCTGGACAAGGGCACGATCGTCGAATACGACACCCCGCTCAACCTGATGCAGCGAAAGGACGGCGCCTTCCACAGGATGTGTCAGGACTCGAACGAATTCGAGGAGCTCGAGCAGATTGCAACGGCAGCTTCCCGATCGAGAAGCCAGAAGTAGCGGTGGACCCAGCGGACCCTAGTTTGCTTGTTCGGGGGGGAGGCTGGCAGTGCTTGCCAGCCAGCTCGGCGGCATTCTGGTTGATTTGGTCGGCTGCCACCGGCACATTTGAAGGCGGTCTGGCATCGGAGGGCAATTGCGATGTGAGCGGCTGCTCCTCGCTCGGACTCTCTGTTGATGAGTGTAGCGGCTTGTGCGGGCGGCGTGGGATGTCGTTCGATTGTCCATGAAGCAGCTGTATGACTCAGGATGGAAATACACTTGCACTGGCGTCGCGATTGCCAACATGCTTGGGTTGAGAGATGAATCGAGACCTATCTCTGGCGACACTGCCAACTTGATCGGTCATCGTGCGGAGCAGATTGGCGGCTGCATCGATGTTGCTGGAGATTCCTTCGTCCTCGAGGCAGAGAGTGGCGATTCCTTCAGCCTCGGCCCCGCCAACCTGCAAAGACCACCCAGCCTCTGCACTATCCTTGCCCATCCCACAGCCAAAGTGGGCTCGCTCTGATCAGCCGGATGACGCCGTGGCATCTGGGGCAAAGCTATGGTTGGATACGACGACTGTGTATTTGCCTGACATACTTCAAGCTGCTGCTGATTCTTGGACCGCTCACACTGGGGTGCTCGACAAAAGGTTAATGCTCCACAGGAGATGGGCAACGAGACGTGCACAAGAACAAACAGGGCGCGATGTGGGCGGGATCGAGTGGTCGGCTTGGAATGAATTTGATGAGGAAATAAGCATGCATCGCAGCTTCGCCGCGACGCTGGCAGAGTCAGGCTCTCGCCCTGGTCATTTCATGGCATCTCATGACGACCGAAACAATCCAAAGGGCCGCCATCCGCCCTTGGAGCTCTTTGATCCCTCGAGGTCGCTGGCGCTGAGTTGTTCCTTGGCCAGTTCCACAAAGACGTGGCCGAGGGTCGCCTGCGAGAACGAGTAATCCACGATGCCATATTCAGCCTTGGATCGCTCCAGGATCTGGAAGCCGGTCGAGAGCAAAATGCAAGTATCCTCGACATAGTTGGCGGACGATTGCTTCTCGCCGGCTCCGGCCTCGGCGGGGCGCGACAGAATCGAAAGCGAAAACTCGACGCTGGAGCCGATCATCTTGGAGACAGTGCACTGGATTGGCAAACCGGGGATGCTCTGGATTTGTGTCGGCAGCCAGTCCACGAGCGCCTGGGAGCGGCTGGAGGATGAGAGCTTGACAGCGATCTTGTAGCCAGATCCATACACGTTCTTGAGTCTCTGGGACGTGCCCAGGCAGCGGAGTTGACCGTTGATGAGGATGGCGATGCGGTCGGACTGGAGTCAGGGAGGGAAAGGACGAGTGAGTGAGTGAGTGAGTGAGTGAGTGAGTGAGTGAGTGAGTGAGTGAGTGAGTGAGTGAGTGAGTGAGTGAGTGAGTGAGTGAGTGAGTGAGTGAGTGAGTGAGTGAGTGAGTGAGTGAGTGAGTGAGTGAGTGAGTGAATTCCAAGCTCGACAGTAGAGCTGCGAAAGGACAAGCAGGAAAAGCAGTCTTACCAAAGCGTCGACTTCCTCCATCGAGTGGGACTAGTATGATGGATGAAGCGTGGTAGTACAATTAACACTTGCATCGAGAGCGACAGTATTCCGTCATCTTCTGCAGCGGCCCCGCACAACGAGGTTGGAGGCTTACTGTAAGTATGATCGAGGAGCGCTCCTTGAGCTTTTCGATTCCTTGCCAGATCTTCTGGCGAATCGAGATGTCGACACCTGTCGTGGGCTCTGTGGATAGATTGAAGGTCCATAGCCGTGGATGAGCGATGCGGGACGGTTGGAACCCAGAAATGCAAACTAGCACGCTGATATCTTGTCGACCACGACTGGGCTCCTTGTCTCAGCCCCATCGAATAAACTCTCCTCCACCCACCACCCGCAGCCCAGCTCAGGCTGTGTGCGAGCCTACCATCCAAAAAGACCAGCTTAGGGTCTCCGATCATCGAGATGGCAATCGACACCTTTCTTTTGTTTCCGCCAGAAAGCGTCTTGGTGAACTGATTCTGGCCGTCATCCAGGCCCATGTCGCTGATGACCTGGTCGACAGCTGCCTTGAGCTCCGAGCTTGGGATGCCGCGAAGCTCGCCGTATGCCGAGATATGCTCCCGCGGCGTGAGCTTGTCCCAAAGCACGTTGAACTGCGGACAGAGTCCGATCATGCGGCGTGCCGATGGATCAAAATGCGGACAGACAGAGTATCCGCCGATAAAGGCCTCGCCGCTGTTGGCAAAGTCGTTTCCGGTCAGAATGTTCTGGGCGAGAGAGGAGAAGGTGATGGGAATTCAGGTGTATCGATAGGCACAGCGAGAAGAGGGTCAGCAGTGGCGACATGGCGAAAGTGAAATCTCAGGTTTGATGATGAAGTGCCGGCGGGATCGTCGATACAGACTACCACAGCTGCCAAATCTAGCGATGCTGGCGAGACAAGGTCACACCAGTCTCAACATCGCGCCTATTTCAGTCGCCCACCCCACTTGCATCCAAGAGTCACTCACGATGGCAGTGGTCTTGCCGGCGCCGTTGGGACCAAGGAAGCCAAAGCACTCGTTCTTCTTGACACCCATCACCAAGTTGTTCAAGACATTGAGGGTGCGGTCGCCCGAGATTTTGAAGGACTTGTTGATGCCGCGGGCTGCCATGATATACTCCGAGTCCTCAAGAGTTCCTGCGAAATCAGGAGACATGAGCTTGGTCGTTTCGCGGAGCACCTCGGCATCCGTGACCCGGGCCGCTCCAGCAGCGCTTCCGGCTGGAACAACGATCGCTGTCGAGGGCAAATCTTCGGGGTGGATAGCGGAGCTCTCGTGATGAGTCGAAGGCGTCTTGCGAGACCTGATTTGCGAGACAACCTCGCTCAGGGCCACCAGGAATCGCTTGCCCGTGGCTTTGCGATGATGCAGCACAGCAATCAGGAACGTGTAGAGGAGAATTTGGGCGATGAAGATCAGGATCATCGGGAAAACTCTGCGGTTGATGTTGAATGTATCGACTAGAGTGTAAGGGGCGCCGTTGATGGGTCCAAGAGCATAGTCCTGGAGAGCAAGAGGGATCAAACATCAGCCCAGTGTCGGAGCGAGACGCATGAGAATGCGCCCGATAGTCGTCGGACGTTCCCTCGACCGTATCGCGGGCACTTACAACCAAGGCACGGTAGGCACCAAAAGTCGGAATAATGAAGCCAATGACGAAATCAAACACAGCCGGGACGTTGTTCTTGAGGGCAAAGTCGACGATGAAATATGGCACAAAGACCTGCAGCGAGGATCAGAGTGAGAATCGCGAGGGTGTCGTGGCGATACCCTGCCGGTCGATCGAGTGCAGGGTCCGATATACACTGCACAACGCACAACGCACAACGCACAACGCACAACGCACAACGCACAACGCACAACGCACAACGCATCATGCTCCTTGGATGGCGTATCCATCGCGGTGGAGTGTGAGCGATACATACAACGAGGGAAACTGTCACTCCGAGAACAGGGCCGACCGACTTGGAGCTCTTGAAAGCAAACGAGAGGATGTAGGACAGCAGCACCGTTACGGGTCCAAAGAACAGGACAACGAGAATCAAAGGAAGCGGGTTTGAGGCTCGGATAAAGTTGATCGGGATCGAGAAGAGGAGGATGAAGGATGCAATGGCGGATACACCAAAGGCAAGGCAGTCGACCAGGAAGAGCGACAGGTAGTAGACGCTGGGCATGACGCCAGAGGTAAAGAGCATTTGTTCCTATGGCGATAATCCCGGCAGGGGCAAGCAGCCTGTGTCAGTCAGCGGTGGTGAGAGCCGTCCCGTGTTCATCTGGCTTGGCGGATCTGGGATTCGGAGAGCCACGGGCTGAGCAAGGACACAGCCGAGATCTGGACCACATATTGCCCGTTTAGCTGTCCAGATACTCACATGCTTTTCCTCGCGCTCCTTGACCATGTTCGAGGCGTGGAACGAGAGCAGAAGGGCGACGGCTATGGACAGAACACAGATGGATTTGGTAAGTAGTAGTCGACCAAAGAGGCACAAAGTATCCGAGCCAGTTGACATCAAGACAGTGCGATGACAGTCGAAACGCACAGGGCCTCCTGTGCATCAATAGGACCAAGGGAACGCCACGCCCGATCTAAAAGCGGCAGCACCCACCATTGACAACGAAAGCGGGGATAACCTCAGCACCAATGTCGATTGTATCAGGACTCCTGTTGGACCACGGGCAGAATCGACGCCGTTGTCAGATGATGGCCTTTGCGCATATCAGCTAAGGAGCATACGGAAGACACAGAAACAGTGCGAACTACGACATTCGACCATGTCGCAACGAAGAAGATCGAAACGGGACAAAAGGCGCACGCTCTGACAATACATACGCATACAGCCCGGCGCTTGGAATGGAGAAAAAGATGTCACGGCTGCTGCCCTTGGGCGGCGAGAATGCTGACTGGGCGACGACGAATGTGCTCTGAGCAAGGATGGGGAAGGTGAAGCTGTCCTGCGATCCTTCGCTGATGACCACCGAGGTAAAGTCCAGACGACCGTCGGCTGCGGTGGCATTTTGCAGCGTGGTGTTGAAGGCCCATCCGCCGATAAAATGGGGCTGCGGAGGGATTCGGTATGTTGAGATGACGGATTGCTCTGAAGAGAGAACAGGGAGGTTATTGGGGTTGATCGGGGCATGCGAATGGGTCGCCTGTGGAATCCGACTGAAGGCAGTCATATGCTAAGCGCTGCCTTGACAGAGACTTGCCAAAGTCTGAGAGCGATGTGAACTGCTCGAGGTTGATGGGGACGTGGGGCAGCTGAGCGGAGAGCAGGGTATTGTAGCCGGAAGCCAGTGCGGAGGCCAGGGGCTGGGCAGCACCCTGGAGGATGAGGCCGAAGGTCAGGTTGGTGACGCTGGAGGAGTTGAGCTGGAAGGCATTTGAACGACCCAAGTCGGCTGCAAGGACGGGGAGGCCAAAGCTAGGCGGCGCAAGCGAAAAGCATGAGTCAGCAGGATACGGAACGATGCCAGCATTGGAGGGCCAAGGGGCCTTGCGCTGAACGAAGGATGATCGACAGATGGATTCACGGAAGTGTCGGGCAAGAACGGGAGAGTCGAGATGATGGTAGGCAGAGAGACGGGCGTGCATACTTAAGGATGGACGAGTCCAGGGACGCCATGATGTTGGTCGAGGCGCCAGCAATGCCACTGGCAATGCCGATCATGATGATGGGATAGACGCATCCTATACATTGCAGCAAAGGTGGAGAGTATTAGCACATCGCCGCTGGCGGACTCGAGTCAAAGCGGTTGGCTGCGATGGTGCACACTCGAGCACGCTGCTGGGTCCTTCCATTGATGGAGGCTGCAGCAACGGAGCTAAAGCGCTGCTGGCTGAAGAGAGTCCGAGAACCAGGGAAGCACAAGCCCGCCCTTCCATCTACACACCCATGATGATGAGGGCCGAGTCGCGGCGGAAGATGAGCAGCCGCAGCTTGAGCATGACCCACAGCTGTTGCCGGAAGGATATCTCTGGATCAGCCGGCATGGTGGCAGAAAGGAGCAGAACTTGGATCTGTCGGCGAATGCGATGGCCGATGCAGGGCAGGAGCAGCGATGGCCAGGAAGGGAGGAAGGTGCCTGGTTGTCGATGGGCGGAATGCGGTTCCAGGACGAGGAGCAAACCTCGGATTATAACGCGAGAGGGCGGCGAGACCACAACGCGAGCGAGACCGGGGCGAGCAGCGAGACGGGCGGCCGAGAAGGGCCCTGGGCAACGTCACGCAGCAAGGCGCGTGGGCGCGCGTCTGCTTGGCGAAACGCGCAGTGCCGGCACTTGTGTCGCGGAGAACATATTGTGCGACGCCAATCGCACCAATCACGGTGTCGGCAGCGCAGCACTTCTTGGCGTGCGCTTTCCAGCCGTGGGAAGTTGGCCGCGCCGTCCACTGCCACTCCCTGCCACTCGCGTCCGCACCAGCAGCCCATCTGCGGTTGGGCAGAATTCGATATCGTCAGCCGGCATGGTCTTGGCAGCTGAGTCCGCCAAGAAAGATACCGAGCGCCGGCGCCGTCGGGCTGCCAAGAGACTGCCCTCGCGGCGCTGCACGGCACGCCGATGCTTCCATCTCCGGCCAGCCGATTCGATGATCCGCAGCGGACTCGACGACACGGGCCGTGTGCCAAGAAGCGAGTGATCGGCACGATGGGACCAGCGTCACCACGCGGTGGCACACAATGACCGGCGACACGCTCTCGTCCGCTCTCGCCGGCTGCTCTCGTCTCGCCCGCCTCTCGCCTGCCTCTCGCCGGGGCTCGCCCTCGCTGGATTTATATTCTCCGTTCCTGGCCCGGTCGTTGGGCTGCGTCCAACCATCTTGTCTCCATCCAACCATCCTGTCTCCGGCCTTCACGTCCTCTGCATCGACAGACCAACACCGACGTGCATCGGTCTGAATCGCCTGCCTCATCCCTCCCCTTCCTCGTCAGCCCGGGCTAGCCCTGTCGACTCCGCCATGAGCCAGAGCACCTCCAACTCGACCAGGTTCTCGCTGCAGACCAAAAAAGACTGGCGCGGCGAATTCCGACAGCTGCTCCGGAGAGAGTACTACATCACGGTTGGTTCTGCGTTGCCCTGTCCCGATCGTAGCGTCTGCTTTACAGGCCGTGCTTGGCTCTCTCCACTCGCTGGCTCTGTCCACTGACTGGCTTCCAACCTCTATCCCCGGCGCCCGTTCTCCAGAGACGCGAACCCGCCAGCTTCGTCTCGTCCTTTATCCTCTCGCTCTACTTTGTGTTTCTGCTCTTTATCCTCAAAAAGTCGTTGCAAGTTCTCCCCGGTGGTAAGCTTCTCCCATTTCTTGTCCACCCATCACGTAGATATCCTGGCAGGGCGGCCGATACCTTGGGCCACTTTGATCGTGGCAATGTTCCGGCTATGGCGAGTCAATCATGATGCCCCACCGCACACCGAACCAGTCCCGCACGCCGTGTGCTGCCCCGCCCCTTTATCCTGCATGATGGGCATCGTAGTTCTGCTCGTGTGTGGCCCTTCGCACGAGACATGCAGCGTATCTTCTGTCGAGCTGACGCCTGGCCCACTCGCCAATACGCTTGTGCAGATCCCGTCCCAACACCCCTGCCGTTTTTGACGTCCATATGCGACGCATCCAGTCCCAACTGCGTCCACATCGGATACACCAACAGCACGCCCGTTGGCCCCCTGATCAGCCAGTTGTCGGCGCTTCTCTCCCAGTCCGAGCCCTCCCAGACCGTCATTCGCAACTTCAATTCGCCCCAGGACATGAACAACTACAAACAGAGCTATCCCTCGCAGCTGGTCGTCGGCATCGAGTTCACCAATGTCTCGGGGGTCATCCAGCCGCCACCTGCCGTACCACTCGCAGCTACTCCTCTTGCCACCTACGTCATCAACGTCAACGAAACCTCCCTGACGACATCCAACTTTGTCAGCGGCATGTTTGTCACGGCCCAGTCGTATGTGGAGTACGCCCTCATCAACACCTACCGCAACAACCGCAATCTGCCGCTGCTTCGGTCTCCTTTGGCGTACACGGCAACCAACGGCATCTACACAGCCAAGGCGATCGGCTCGGCCACGGGTGGCCTGCAGTACACGCTCTCGTAAGCATCATGCAGCATATATATAGACTCTCGCATACTTTCCTGATGCGGGCAACAGCTACCGCAATGGCAATGGCAATGGCAATGGCAATGGCAATGGCAATGGCAATGGCAATGGCAATGGCAATGGCAATGGCAATGGCAATGGCAATGGCAATGGCAATGGCGAGAGATCGATGCACCGTTGCCCAGCACTATCGTCGTTTGTTTGTTCTGAACCTTACACCCTCTCGCCCCGATGCACATGGTTCAGGTTCATCACCATCTTCATGTTCCAGAAGCCTCTCGAGTCGCTGCTGCTCCGCATCACCTTTGAGCGAACAAAGGACATCAAGTCCGGACTCATTATGATCGGCATGAACCCTATTGTGTACCACTTTTCGTTGATCGCTTCCGTCTTTGTGATGCAATTGCCCATCTTCGTCATCGTCGGCGTCCTGTTCTTTGTCCTCAAGGTTTTCACGCTGACGTCGCCCCTGGTCTTTGCGGTGCTGCTGATCCTCTACCTGCTGCTGATGCTCAACCTGGCCGCCGTTGTCGCCTTGGCTGTTCCAAAGCACACCATGTCTGTGCTGGTCTCGTTCCTCGTCGACTTCCTCTCCCTGGCCATGCTTGGTCTCGGCATGGTCTTTTTCTGGGACAAGCCCGGCCTCGAATACGCCGAGTATCTCGCCTTGTTCTTCTTCCCGCTTGTCTCCATCGGCCGCGCCACTGGATTGATGGCCCAGAGTGAAGACACGCTCGTTGGCATCTCGTTCAACGGCAGCCTTCCTGCGGGGCTCCAGCGCGTCCTGATCATGATGGTCGTCGACATTGTCGTCTATGGCATCCTTGGTCTCTACCTGAGTTTGGTCTTTGTCGCCCCTGACCAACAGGGCCTTGAGCCCCTCTTTTTCCTCAAGCAAAGCTACTGGTTCCCGAACAAGACACGGATCTTGCGCTCTGTCGATCCCCTCAAGGCCGCAACAACAGCGTCGCTGCAAGACCCTGACAACTTTGAACCCGTCGACGTTTCCTATCTCCCTGTATCAGACCTGAGCCAGATCCAGATCCTTGGCATCAGCCAGGTTTTCAAGAAGCGCAAGAGCGGCAGCTCCGATGAGGAGCTCAAGGCAAAGAGCCAGCCCCGCAGAGGACTTATCTCGAGCCTCCTCCAGGCCAGGGTGAAGGCCGAGCCGTTCACTGCCGTTGACAACGTGTCGCTGAACATGCATGGCGGACAGATTGTGGCACTTCTGGGCCACAACGGTGCCGGAAAATCGACCCTCATCAATATGATCATGGGCAGCCTGCGACCGACCCGAGGAGACATCCTGGTTGCCGCCCCCTCCAGAACCACCCTCCAGAACGCCGAAGCCGCCAAGGCTGTCGAATATCTCTCCGTTCTCGACACCCACTCGCTCGAAGAGATCCGGTCCCGCATTGGCGTCTGTCACCAGTTCGACATGCTCTATCCCGTCATGACCCCGCGCGAACACATTGAGTTGGTCCTCGCCATCAAGGGTGTGGTCCTGGCTCCCGGCCAGAACGGCAACGGCACCATCACCGAATACATCGAAGCGCTGCTCAAGGATGTTGGGCTCGACGGCAAGTTTGATCAGTGGTGCCAGGAGCTCTCTGGCGGCCAGAAGCGCAAGCTCAGCGTGGCTATGGCCCTCGCAGGCAACCCCAAGTTGGTGCTTCTTGACGAGCCCACCACCGGCATGGATGTGCACAGCACCCAGGAGATCTGGCGATTCATCCAAGCGCTCAAGCCCGGTCGAGTTATTTTGCTCACTACCCACATGATGGTACGCGGCGACGGCTGTCCTTGATTGCTGCTGACTCTGCTGTGTGTTGGATTGGGCGAGCACCTTATCAGCGTGTGCGAACACCCATCGCCTGCTGCTGCGTTTGGCTGCTGTGGCGCTCGATGGCTGCTCACTGCCTTCCAATACTGGACTGACATGCTGGTCTGGCTTGATTGATTCATGTGGTGATTCATGCGGTGATTCTAATACCCCTGCTTCGACTTTGACAGGACGAAGCCGAGGTGCTCGGCGACCAGATTGTCGTCGTCAACAAGGGCAAGATGCAGGTCTCTGGCACATCCATGTTCCTGAAATCCAAGTTTGGTATCGGATACCACCTTCTGATCGAGCGATCGCGCCAAGCGCATGACGGCCACAGCGACGTCAACGGCGAGGATGAAGCTATCCTCAAGTTGATTCAAACCATTGTCCCCGAGGCCGCCATCGAGCAGAACACCCAGTCGTCGTTGACCATTCTGCTGCCCTTTGCCAAGATCACGACTGCAGAAGCTGAGCCTGGTTCTGAGCCGACCACCTCGCAGGCAGCCCCGTCGATTCAAAACGACGAGGTGATGCTGTCGCAGCTCTTTACCACCCTCCGATCGCACTTTGCCCGGATCCAAGCCAGCCCCGAGTCCAAATCAACCGTGCATTCCGTTGGCCTGAGCCAGACCACGCTTGATGAGGTGTTCCTGAAACTCAAGGACGATGCCAAGTAGCGATCCAACCAGATTGCCAAAGGCCCTCACCACAAGCGAGCCGTCGATTACAGGCTGTGCTGCCTGTGGCTGCAGTCAGACGCAGTAAATCAGCGCCCATATCGCCTCATATGCTCGAGGGGTCAATCTGTTCACGGCGGCGTGCGATATTCAACACAATACATATTTGTGATTTCTTAACGTGCCGTCGTACTCCGATGCTGATGGCCTCAAGCCCAGCTTGAGTCATTGATACTCGGTTGTTGCCCAGGCTCTATGGCATAGCGCTCTCTTGAATCGTTGCCGCTGTTGTTATGCGGGTGATCATCTTGGGCCAGATTGTCACCTCGGGTTCGGTCGGGATGGCTGTCGCTGTTTCGGTCGGCCGCATCTTTATCGCTCGGGCTGCATTCTTCGTCGTCATCACTTACGGGAGCATCCTCGAGGATGCCAGGATGCAGCTGACTGGCCAGCCGCCTCATGCCCAGGTTGTATATGTCCTCGATCTTGGTGCCAGCCTGCAGACACTGATATGCCACTTCGTCTGTTTTTGTCCAGTCCGGATGCCCCGGATGCCCCGGATGCCCATACCAGTTCCGATCGCTCGACTCGAGCGCAAACTCACATTCCTGTGTGATGCGGTGAAGGGCCTTCTGGATGCTCAGGGTGAGGGTGTGCCGGCGTCGGACACTGGCGACAAAGGCCGGCGGTGCGACGAGATGATCGAGCCTGGGTGATTTGTGTCGTGGGGGTTTCGGGTGGTTGAGGTTTGGTTTGCTGGTAAGCGGGCGATAAGCATCGATGGGTGCCTGTCCATCCAGCAGGCTCGATTGCGTGGGTGCCTGGGTTTCCCCAGCATTTGATTCAAACGCATCCACAGGCTCATTGACTGCTGGACGAGATTGGGAGTTCCGATAAAGTCGGTTGCTTGTTTCGCCTGCCGGATCTGGAGCCTGATCAACAGCAAGTGCCTTCCCGCTGTGTTGGCACAGATCGGACGGCTGGGGTGGCTCGGATGGCCCGGATGGCCGGGTGGGCTCGGATGGATTATCGACGGCCCTGGTGATGCGACTGCCTTCGCTCCGGACCTGGCGAACGATGGCTTGGCCTTGGACAAGAAGATCTCGCATGAACATGAAAACGTCCTTGGGCCTGAATGCTTGGCCCAGCCAGAGCCGGCCGATGCTCTCGAGGATCGCCAGAATCTCAGCATATCGCTCCTTGACGGTGCTGACCTGACAGCATGCGTGCTTGGCCATCTTGTTCATGATGGCGAGGGGGCACCGCCGCTTGAAGAGTCCCGACCACGCAAAACAGACGCATACTCGGGCCAGAATCTGTGGATCACGGCCGGTATCGAGCCAGCAGAGCTTCACAATATCGTGGACCGAGAGAGCCAGCTCCAGTGCCCGCGGGATGCTTTCGGCGTCCGAGATGATGTGGTGGACTGCTTTCTGGATGAAGATCGAGGGATCGACGGGATCGATGGGATCGCTCCAGCCACCCTTGGCGGTCCTGATCTGATTGAACTGGATGCCGATCTTGAAGTGAGAGACGCCAAAGATGGACTGGGAAGGAAGTCAGCCGAGGCGGATGATTGAGTGTTGGTTCGTCAGTGGCATCCAGCTGCAAGCCTCGACACACACAAACGCTGATAATTGCGACGCTCTGTGGTGGGGCGAGGCCCCCAGGAGAGCATATACTGCATGACTGCATGACGACGCAGCCAAAAATGCTTCCGATCTCTACCTCCAGGTCTCTCAGAGAGTATCCGAGATGGTTGCTGCGAATGACGCAGTAGGCACAAGCGATGACCGGTAGGGGTATCTGCTGGCTGCTTTGCATTCCGATCGGCAGTAAACTTGAAGCATGATCGATCCAGAACCGCAGCTCGCCGATCTGCCGCTCGGTGAACTTGAGTCGAAGGCCGACCTCCTGTGCTTTTTGGTCCAGAAAAGCCTATTCAAATGTCAAGGTCAGAACCCCAGCAGGAGCAGAACAAGTGGGCGAGCCTCCGCTGATCGGACCAGCCAAGCCATATCACATGGACAGTGCTACCCATCCGCCTCTCAAGTCGGCAGAGGTACCTTCCGAAGTCGGCTGTAATGGGCAGCGTCTCTGTTGCTGTAGTAGTCTGAACTGGTGATGACGCCGAGCGTTTGATGCCGATCGGGCAGGCGAGAATACTCCTGCTGCTCGATAACGGATCCGCAGCTTCGACAGACGACGCAGTCGTCGTCCTCTGTCAGCATCGGCAGGGAACAGCACTGCCCGGATCTTGTCATACCGCAAGCGGAGCAGCCTCTAGTGCAGCTCGAGAAGATGTGGTTGTGATGAAGGCTGAACAGATGAATGATGACCCGAGGAACGATCACACCAGCGGTGGCGAAGAGCGATCGATTGGACGATTTGTGGCTGAGCGGAGCGCAGCGCAAACAAATACACACCAGATGAACAGATCTAACAACAAACTCGCGCAAGCCAAAGCAAATCTCATGCCTGAGATCGATGCTATCGATGGCGGTGAAGGTGAAGACGGGTGTGAGGGGTGATCAACCAGATGTGATAAGAGATGTAATAAAGTTGTAATAAAAACAATTGAAAACTCAAACATCCAGCCCGGCTAGCTCAATCGGCAGAGCGTGAGACTCTTAATCTCAAGGTTGTGGGTTCGACCCCCACGTTGGGCGCTCAGCTCCTATGGCGCAATTGGCTAGCGCGTTCGGCTGTTAACCGGAAGGTTGGTGGTTCGAGCCCACCTAGGAGCGACTCCTTTTTCCGTTTTGCAATTTTGCAGCCAGATTGCTGTTGTTCCTGCTCTGCTCTCTGGATGGTCTCATCTCATGCAAATCATCCGTCTTCGTTCACTGTTTCATTTCTGGCGATACTGCATGGGTGCAATACTCATACTCTGCCAAACAGACAACCGAGACAAGACAGCCGACAAACGAGAAGAACAGCGAGTGGATATCAAGTGGGAAACAGCCCAGGGGAAGGTTGGGGCGGAGATGGAAAGAACAAGCACAATACAAAGCAACGACAGAAGGAGGAGTGTGCTTGCTGTGAGACTCAGTCGAGGACTCAGTCGAGGACACTGGATCGATGGTGTGGTCGAGCAACCAGGATCTGCCAGGTGAGACCCCAGATGAAGCACCGAGGGCCGTCCAAGTGCAGTGCATCAACTGCCACTGCCGGTCACTGCTGGCCATGCCTCAGGACAACCCATCGGTGCAGCCTGGTCCAGCACATCTGTGCCGTTCAGTTGCGGCCAGTGCGGCCAAAGACGCTGACCTCGGGATAGTCGTCCGTCTGGAGCGGCGAGACAGGCTCGGCCGGAGCAGGGAGGTATTTCACACGGTCCAAGAATCGGAGACATCGCTCGACGACCTTCTCGGCTGGGAGACTCGGTGTCGGATAGATCGAGCGGGTGTTGGGGTTGTCGACCTGGACGGACATGTCCATCAGCATGTGCATCAGCGGGAACAGGGCGTTGGTCTCGACGGAGGGAGCCGATTGGAGCAGGATCTTGAACTGCTCGCGTGTCTCGAACATGACTCGCCAGCCCATGGCATTGACGATCTCAAAGATCTTCTTCTCGGCGATGAGGCTGAGCATGGAGTGTCGGTGTGAGATGGGTTGGTGTGTGATGGGTTGGTGTGGTGAGCCGGTGCTGTCCCATCCATTCTCTATCCATGCCCTTCCTTCCCACTCGCTGCTCCCCCAGCATGCCATGAGCCACATCCTCACCTGTTCTCCGAGTCGCTGACATGGAACACAAAGTTGGAGAGGGCCTGCTCCGAGGCCACAATCGCCGTGACGACCTTGGCCACATGGTCGACCGGGTCCATGGTCAGGGTGACGGGGGTTGCATGGGAGGGAGCGATTCCGATCTGGATGCATCCCTTGACATATCGCCAGATGTAGTCATCAACGTTGCATGCTGGTGGCGAGAGAGACATGGAGAAAGCGAGTGAGTGTCGGCCGAGGACTCACCAAGCACATCACCACATCACCACATCACCACATCACCACATCACCACATCACCACATCACCACATCACCACATCACCACATCACCACATCACCACATCACCACTCGCTCACCTCCGTATCGGCTCTCGCCGACGATCGCGGCCGGTCGGATGATCGTCACCGGCACGCCCCTCGATCGTGCCTTGTGGACCAGCTGCTCCGAGACCCACTTGGTCTGTGCGTAGCCGCCAGAGAGGTTCCAGTTCAGCGACATTCGCTCCTCGAGCGGCTGGGCCGAGCCCTTCATCGGCAGCGTGCCGATCGTCGAGATGTAGTGGAGCGGCTTCAAGTGGTGGGTCGTGGCCAGTCTCAATGCCGTCGCCGTGCCGAGGACGTTCGGGCCCTTGAGTGCCTCGTAGTTGTAGAGCCAGTGGACCTCGGCACCGTTGTGCACAATCACATCACTCTGCTCGCTGATCTCCTGCCATCGCTCGTCCGACAGCCCCCACTTGTCCTGTGCCAGGTCGCCGGGAAGACCCACGATCCTGGGACGGATGTTGTGCTCGAGGTCGTGCATCTGCTGCTGGTTGAGGATCAGCTTGCTGGCCGTGTCAAAGATGCGGTCGATGGCGGCCTGCTCGTCCTTGGCTCGGACCAGGCAGTAGATCTTGGCGCTGGGGAACCTGCTGGCCAGCTCGTACAGCAGGAATGCGCCGAGGAACCCAGTGGCCCCCGTCAGGACGATGCCGCGAGGATTGTCGGGATAGACAAACCGAGGGAGGCCGTCGGCCGTCACACCCGCATCGTCGAACCTGACGGCTTCCTGGTACAGATCCACGGTCGGCGGGACCATCAGTCTGTCGTCGAGCATGTCGATGGCAAGCTGGGCGACATCGGTGGGTGTCATTCCGTTCGACAGCAGGATCAGCGGCGAGATCTCGACATCCAGCTCGTCCTTGATGGCCAGGGCCAGGCGGCCGGCGCTGAGCGAGTCAAAGCCGACACCGCCAATGTAGTAGTTGCGGCCATCAAGGGCGGCCCTGCCCAGGACCCGGCTGCCGATCTGAGAGATCTTGGCAGCGACGCGGGACAGGAGAGTGTTGTCGATCCTGAGAGCCGGATAGACGACCGACGCAGTGTACTGCTCGACATTCTCGGCAAACAGCCTGAGCTTCTTGAGGTCGCGCTTGTTGGAGTCGTTGAAGGGGAATCGCTCGAGCGCAAAGCAGTTGTGGATCGGGACCTTGGCGACGTTCGAGAGCGCAAAGAGCTCCTCGGTCATCAGGATGATGTTGGCGGGACTCAGGAGGATGGCAGGGCCGGTTTGGGGGACATAGAGCATCACGATGCGCTTCTCGGAGGTCATGACAAAGGCACAGTCGGCGATCGAGTGGCTCAGGTTCTGGTTGACAAGCTCCTCGAGGGCATTGAGGTCGACATAGACGCCGTTGACCTTGACCTTCTGGTCGAATCTGGAGTGGTGCATGCGGAGGGATGATGTGGTGAGATGGGAATGTGGTGAGAGGTGATGTGGGTGATGTGGGTGAGAGGTGGTGTGGGTGATGTGGGTGGTGTGTGATGGGATAGCAATGTGTGATGGCAATGTGAGTGAGAAGTGTGTGATGAGGTCGATACATGGCAATTGGATGAGTGGTGGATGGGTGGGTGGTGAAGCAGAAGATGAATGCCACATCACAGCCAACACACCGACACAGTGCCTCTGCATCGCACACACCTTCCGACCACAGTGAACTCGTTCTCGCTGACCATCTCGACCCAGTCCATGGTGCAGACACGAGGCGAGCCGTCGCTGAGGAAGCCAAAGTATCCAATCTTGTTGTCCGGGTCGGCGTTGACAAAGCTGGGATGATCCTTGACTGGATGGTCGGGGTCGACAGCAAAGACAAGGACGCCGCTGTTGGAGAACCTCCTGTCGATGAAGTTGCCGTGCTCGTCGATGATATGGCAGCGGACTCCTGGCTTGGCGAGTTTGTACACAAGTGTGGGAGGGACTTCAGTGACATCGACTGGGAGACTGAAATAAGCTCCGGCTCCTATCAATGCGGACTGATAAAGCGAGTTGTTTCCGGTCAGTCGAGTAGTAAACATCATATTTTGCTTGACATTCAATGATGACGTACCTCGCTGGATGCATATCCAGATTGAATCTCGGCATTTGGGAAGCGGCGTCTGGCTTCACAAACGACGCTTCGAGGCACAATTTCAGATCCAAGCATAATCTTTCGTGTTCTTCGCCAAACGATGTGCCTGTTATCCGACACCCCGACTCCGATGATCAATTTGAGGAACGAGGGAGGCTGATAATATAACAGAGCATCTTGATTAGTCACAGCTCGATACAAATGGATATCTACATGTTCTCATACATACCAATCCCATGTACTCGAGTCCATCGTTGAGCATCTTGAAGATGCTTCGGACTTTCTCAACAGGATTCGGAGTTGTGTCTGGAATCCATGCCGACCCTCGGAGGTTCAGTGTGGCTAAGAGGAAGCCAAGGGTAGCCGAAAACGAAGGTGCCTGCAGAGTCGGAGAAGTAAGCTGAAGATCAAGGATAATATAAAGTGTCAACAAAGGAGTCCAAACCTGACAGAGTCCGACGCTGGCATTAAGGATCCAAATTGACTTGTACAGACTATTTGGGTACAAACAAGAATACTTGTATCTGATACACATTCATGAGCATAGGGTGGTCAGTGATCTCCGTTGAATCGCTTCGGACTGTGCTCAGCACACTGTCTCGATCCACTTACGTCTTGGGGATGCCTGTCGAGGAGTAACAAGAACCACCATGAGCATCATGCATATCCTGTGATGACCCACAGACACTTGCTCGCTCGTACCATGTCATCAGATGCGCCACTCATCCGATGTATCAAGCACTCCACCCAGACACATAGCTGGCGGATACTCTGGCAGCCATCCATACCTGTCGTTCCAGAAGTGCAGAGATAGGCAATGAACTTATCGAGAGGCTCGCACGCCTCAAGCGAGGGCAGTGGGATGTCGTCCAGCATCGGGAATGTCGATGCATCCACAAGAGTCACTCCCTGTGTGCGTCCGGGTTTGACGCAGTGGTGCAGGATATACTTGATCGAGTATCTGGATGGATGCAGCCCTGTCAGCTGCTGTTTATCAATCGACACCCACATTGCCACCATCATCACTTCTGAGGTCGAACTATCCCACAGACAATAGACATGCCCACAGACGATCCAGACATGCCCACAGACAACACACCTGTCGCACACAGCCTTTCGGGCAGCCGGAGGCAGGTTGAGACCAAAGTTGATTGTCTTCCTGGATGGTGGTCAAGGGACGAGCGAGGAGAGTCGGGAGGATCACAGAGTCAGGAGGGAAGATCGCAGAGTCAGGGCATCACAAGCCAGGACAGAGCGGACGATGGCACTGGATCGACAGTGCTGGTGGCGGATGTGTGGAGCAAGTAAGCAGCAGACGACGG